GCCTTTATCCTGCATTGCCTGAATGGGTCGTTCTTTGGGCTATTTGATTTTTGGAGATCTTCTAATTGGGCTTCATTTCTTGGGCTATTCAACTTGGACTGAACTTTTTGTGTGTCAACAGATGCAGGAATTACAGTTGAGGATTCCAAATAAACTGGTTCTATATTTTTATCCAAGTTCCAAAACTTAAACCCTTCATATAAGCCAAAATAAGAACTGTAAATCACAACCCAATAACTCCAATTATGGTAGGCATCAATTCAGACTTTGAATCCAAATAATGCAGCCAGAATCTTGATCCATGATGAAATACATAATCTTATGTACACATAAATGGAATTTTCAAATTTTGATTCTCATATATACAAAACAGGGGGAAGTCGTATATGCCCAAAAAAAAAAAAAATCCATATTTACGTGAAAGATAATAACCAAAATTTCAGAATTCTTAAAACCTGATATTCTCAAAGATTCAACCATGAAGTGGCTCTGATACCACTTGATACCATTTTAAATCCAGATTTACAGATTTGAAAGGAACTAATAATCCAATTTTAATCATTTCATAAATTTATCCACGTTAAATCAAAGAGAACAAAATAAAAACGGAAGCGTACCTTGATCCATAATTGTAATTGATTTTGAACGGGTTACAATCTTCCAATTGATTCGTGATTTTCCTTTTGAATTCTTGAAAAACTCTCTGTTGATGGGGATGCAGAGGTTATGAGAAAATCATGTCAATTGGGGACCATGACCCTATGATAAATAACTGCTAAGCAGTTATCATCTTTTATTTGTTTTAAATTGGCCCCTCATCAATTTAAAACAACTACCTGACCTCTACACTTTAATCCCATAACAATTGATACCCATTAATCCAAAATTAAATTAATTTGATCACTTTAATGGACTAAAAATACGAGATAACAAGATACACTTTAATCATATAGCCCCAATTGTTAAAATTTTTCCAACACATACATCATTGAGAGACAATAGCATTATTTGTCAAAAGAGATTCAGACAACTAATTTTCGGATATTTCATAAGAATCTATATTAGGGTTCCTTTGTTCGAACGACAAAATCGAAGTGATTATCAAATTAATCAAAATTTTCTGGTATGTTCTTTTTCCTTACATATTTTCGCAAGTACTGTTTGTATTTTATCATAAATTTGATACATACCAGAAGTTTAGAATTATTCTTGATTTGGGATGAATTGTTTCTTGAAATCGTTGTTCTCGTTCTTTCCCTTGTTTAGGTTTTTCTGTAATATGAATGCATGATGATTAAATTTTACTCTTTTTCTGTAAAAATTAATTTAAATTACGTGTTTTTAGTGGCTAGAGGATTAAGTAATCCAATTTTTTTTTTAATTGTTCTGCATTAAATATAGAGAAATTCAAGAAAATAATTCCTGGATAAGTTTCCTTTTTAAAATTTTAATTTATGATGGTTAATGCCACCCAAGTAATTCTCAACTTTGTTGAGAGGTTAGCATGAATATCATATACAAGCCTGTTACACGTACAAAAGAATTTCACATAACACCTATAGGAACAACACTTGGCCAATTTTCATTGAAAGAAGCAAAAATAAAAAAATAAAGAAAAGGAGAAAAACAGGCAGACAGCGTCTTGTATGATTCTGTGAAAAATAGCCCGTACTTGAGGTTTCAATCTATCATATATTAGTGTGGAGGGGTTGTGCTTCTTGATAAAAAAAAAAAAAAAAAAAAGGGTAATTAGCACAAAACGTTCCTACTTTTCGATGTTTTTGTGGAAAACGTCCCTACCTTTCGTTTTTTGGCGGATTACACCCTCACCTTTACCTTTTTTTTTGCGCAAAACGTCCTTCTATCAACTCTCCGTTAAAATGTTCCATTAAATCAAGAGGTAATTAACACAAAAGGTCCCTACCTTTCAATATTATTGTGCAAAACGTCCTTACTTTTCATTTTTTGGCATAATTGGCACAAAAGCTCCCTACCTTTCAATGTTATTGTGCAAAACGTCCCTACCTTTAATTTTTTAGCATTTCCACCCCTACTTTTCACCTTTCATTACGAAAAAGGTCCTTCTCATCCATTTTTTTTCAATAAAATGACGATTTTACACTCCTATTCAAATAAAACAAAAAGAAAAGATGAATAACCAACTGTAACCATAGTCCTTAAATTTTTAAAAAATTACAAAGAAATCATAAATTCCCAACCACCACCACTTTCACAATCTATCAAGCTGCCAACTATAAATCAACATAATACCACAGTTCTGCCACCATTCCCACCAGACTCTGTCATCGTAAATGTGGTTATTTTGGACAGATTGGTGACCAATACTATGGAGGAGGATATCGGGAAGAGTGAGGAGAGGCTGGTGGTTGTGGAGTCCGATAGGTATTGTGGCCGAAAGGTACTACAATATAGATCTATAGGGGGTGGCTTGGTGGAGTTATGAAAGTGACGGTAGTAGAAAGTTCAGAATTTATCTGTAATGTTTTGAAAGATTTAGGACTATGATTACTATTAATTATTTATTTTTCTTTTCTTTTCTTTTCTTTTTATTTTATTTGAATAGGAGGGTAAAATCGTCATTTTATAGAAAAATGGATGAGAAGGACCTTTTTCGCAATTAAAGGTGAAAGGTAGGGGTGAAAATGCTAAAAAATAAAAGCTAGGGATGTTTTGCACAATAATATTGAAAGATAGGGACCTTTTGTGCTAATTACCTTGTGATTTAACGGAACATTTTAACGAGGAGTTGACGGAAGAACGTTTTGTACAAAAAAAGATAAAGGTGAGGGTGTAATCCGCCAAAAAACGAAAGGTATGGACGTTTTCCACAAAAACATCGAAAGGTAGGGACGTTTTGTACTAATTAAGCTTAGTCAAGCTGGTTCTAGTGAGACTCGAACTTCAATGGAAGACAGCTCAGAAGTTCCAGTAAGTGTTTTCTAGTCTCATAGTCCTAGTCCTGGCACAGGAGATTCAACCATGAATATATGACACTTTAACTTCCATATCACAGCAGAATTTCAAATGATAAGCACAAAAACTGAGATGACGTGTCAATTATATGTAGATGTTAGGCCAGCCTCATGGAATGAACAACCAGAATCAGCTCGAACCATTTTATTATGAAAAATTACCAAATATACGAAAAAGCATCACATGGTGTACTGATGTGTCTTACATTATTATTAAAGTAGGAACTGTAAGAAATTACCTTTAATCAAACTCGTCGCCTTCATCTCCAAATTGTTTCTCCAGTATCAGGCCAGCTATGTTACTATTTACAGAGTTAATTTGGGTCTCTCTCACAGAGTTCCCTCTAGAACGTACAGTCTGAGGCCGAGTTTTTGCTATTGGGCTAACATTAGTATTTACATTGCCCCTGCTTGTTTCTCCAGCACTACTGTGCGGTTCCGCCATAACAATGCCATCATTGGTCATCATATCATGAGAGCCAGATCCTTCAGACATGTCAGACCTCTGGCATAGCAATTGCCCGTTATTGTGGCTATTCATAAAAGGAATTCTGAATGATAACGAGAATTTATTAGAATTTCGCACGATACACATGAAGAAATTAAATTCAAACATAAGAAACCAAAATAAGACAATTAGTCAAACCAAACCGAGCAAAGTGTAGAGGCATACGACCTTATTTAAAAATAAAACAAACTAAAGAACATGTCTATATAAAATTTTAATGCACCTCCCCAGAAAATGAAGATCAGAAGCTTGTAGATAATCAAAAACTGGAACCAGGTTTTTTGACCTAACTTCAAGCATGTCAACGGGGATTTTTTCAATCTCAATCTCTCCCCTGTGAGCAACTTCCTCGTTTTCATTAAAGTCATCAGTCAGTAACATGGAATGAAAATTTATCTGCCAAAAGATATTAGTATAAAAAATGTCAAGCATTACAGTGATGGAGAAGTAAATTTGGGAAGACACCATTTCAAATTTCATGTGACAGATCAAGTACCTCAGGTTTCGCCCACAATGGGCTCTGATTTTGATGCATTTGCAGCTCTGCGTCAGATATGTACATATGGTGTCTTTCTTCAGTTGTGACTTTATCTTTCGTGGGTGCACCCATGACACTGGAACACACACTATCATCCTGTCTGGTTCTTTCAGGAAATACTTTAGCACGATCTAAATTTCCATTTTCGCTATATACGTCAATATCATCTTCCCGCTGCTTCCTGTTTAGTTTCTGGCAAATATCCCACTTCTGGATAGCCTTAACTACTAACCCTGCATCACCATCTAGATCTGATTCACAGCTGGTATTCACTCCTGGTAAAGCTGTCACACTATTTAGCATGGCAGAGGTACCCAATGCATATTGTATCATAGAACCAGAAGAAGAGAAAACAAGCAAGTAGTTTGTCTTCAGAGAATTGGAATGTCCATTTACATCATCACCTCTGCAGTTATGGAAAATTGAAGCAATAACCCCAGGGAGAGAACTTGTCTTCCCAGTAGCAGCTGCTGCAGCACCACTTACAGCATTTCTCCAACCATTATTTCCATTTCTTATCCTGATAAGAGGAGAAAGTGAAATTGGGGATCCAGATGGACAAATAATTTGTTGGGTTAGACGCTGTATCCCTGAATTTGGCGGCCCATGAACTGCATGCTTCTTCATCAAACTGTATCCAGTGTTTCTGGCACTAAAACAAGCATCAGAAGACTGAATGCTTAACGAACCCCCTGAAGGAGAAATAGCAAAAAGATGGCTTGTCCCTCTTAAAGAACTAACCATAATCCATTGGCTATTGCTACTAAAACTTATGTCCTGTATGACCTAAAAAAACATTATCAAACAGAAAGAATATCAGATCAATCCTATTTGCTGACAATAGCATCCGCATATAAGAAGATAAAAAAACAACTCTTTTGTTCTTACTGCAGGTGTGACACCACGTTGCAGCCTGTAAAGATGGACATGAGATGGGCCAGAAGCAGCTCCAGAGGAACCTCCAGAAAGTTCAGGAATTATACGGAAAACATTAATGTTGTGGCCCTGATCTGAAGCAGTCACTAGCAGGGTGCCACTAGGATCAAAGCACAAAGATGATATAGGATGTTTATGTGCCCTAAATTGGGTAACAATACTTTTGCTGACAACATCTCTGACAACGACCTGATGAATAAACAAGAAACAAAATAAGGAAAACATTATTTCAAAATGGAATATGTAAGAGAACACACAAACATCAGTTTCCTGCACAAAATAATCAGGGTAAATGTACAAAAATCAGAACTGCACCTGCGATGTACAATGAACATTAATCAGATATTACTGATCCTATAACTAAAGAATATCTTATATACTGCAGCAAAATTGCAAAGAAACATTCTAAGTACAGTCAAGTAAAATGACGGTATTAGGTTCAATAACTTGCAGAGCAGGTAAAACAAATTTGACTGACACAGCAACAATAGTTACATACAAAAAATGGTTTCCACAAACCATAAAAAGAAGCACGCTTGGGAATTATGCATACCATGCCAACACTGTCTGCATGAGCACTTCCTGGCAGAGAATTGTTTCCATCAGGCAACAGCTCAGAGTAGTACTTTGATAATTTCTTATAACCCATGTCCCCTAGTGTAACAATACCAGAAGCTAGTTGCCTGCCGGACTCTTTTGCGTAATGTGCAACAACGCTTCCATTTGAAGCAGGACTAGGGAAACTAACAGATGGGTTAAGATGTTGCGGATTCACACGCCCTGAATTTGGGATGGCAACTGGACTTCCACTATAAGCCATCCACCTGGGACCCACTGCAAGGGGCCCAAAGCCTATACCTCCAGATCCACAGTCACCCATAACAACAGGATTTGTAAAAATTGTATACTGTCTCTCCAGCGTAAAAGCATCAAGACAGTGTATCTGCATAGAACATATCTTATCAACATATCCTGACAAGAGAAAAAGGACAGCGAAGGTTGAAAGGCATATTTTTTGATGAATTTAAAACATAGTGAAACGCACCTGAGCTGACTGTAGAACAGCAACAACTCGAGAACTACATCGCACTAAATGAACAACAGACCGAAACCGTAAAAGATGTACATATGATTGTGATCGCAATGAATAAAACCAAACTACCGTAGGCATACAACTACCATTAACCGAACCATGGCAGTGTTGAGCGAACCCATTATGAGCACCACCATACCCCTCCTGAATGTTATTGCCCTCAGAAAACGATCCGTCAGCACAAATTATCAGCAATGGGCGACTATCACCAAACTTGTCTCCAGATTCCTCTGATGCTGTTGGGTTGGGTAATGCTTGCATAAACGAAACAGGACCATCGCTCCTGGAAACCAGTTTGTGCACATTGTCTGCTTCTTCAACATCCCAAACCTGGAAGCCACAACTGTAGCCGAGCAAGAGAACTTTCCTTGTGACGCCTCCCTCGAGTTCTAGCTTGTCAAATCCAGCCCAGCAAACCTTCAATTGGTTGAAAGGTACAAAAAATAAAAATAAAAATAAATCAGCCATACCAAATAGATTTAGCACACGTGCATTGGGAATGGCAAATATCATATTACCAATTGGCACAGCATAGAGAAAGATACCCAAGAACCAATTATGAAAATATCAACAATAAGAAAATACAAGAGGTGATGTCAGATAATTATAGCATGCTAAATTAAAAGATTCATGGCAAAACAGCACGATGGGATTCAATGAAAATTAGTGCGAGGACATTTAATTATTGTGTGGCACCACCAGATAATATTTTTGTCCATTTATCGGCAATACATTGTTGAATCGCCCAAATTAAAAACACAAATTCAAGCTGTTATTAGACTGACGAACTTCTTCACCAATATTTTCAAGATCTCAAATTTCCCTTTTTTTACTTGATTTGTCACCAGAAAGGAGAACTTATATATATTTTTCAAGAAAATGACAAAGTTCTATATCATTGAATCTTTAAACTTTATTGTATAGTTGTCCATAGTTTTAAAACTTGACCAGGCCACTGGCCAAGCCAAAGCACTGGGTCAGTGGGTCACCAGTTCAACCACTAAGTCACTGGTTTAACAGCCAGACTAATGTTTGATTATCATTTATATATAAAAAAAAAAAAATATTTTTAAAATAAATAATCAGCGTAAAATATAACTACATGATAAAAAATTGAGTCATGCAATAAATTAGTGCTGTGGTGATAAAATAAGAATACTATAATAAATTAAAAATATTAACTGCTCAAATACTCGATTTTTAACATCAAAATGATAGAACATAATAATCAATTCTTGGTAGTTGCTTACATTACTTCACATACTATTGAAGACGACAAATGTCTATTTACATTAGGTCGGAAACTTGTCTGGCACATGAAGCTTCATATTTTTACTAAAGGCAGGTTCAGATATCAAGTTCTTTAACCTGCCAGTATCATTTCAGTTTGGTTGCAATTTACCCAGATTTGACCGACCATTCGCAGGTATTGATCAGTTCACATATAAAACAGTCCCCACCATGGCCAACTCGAAGGTCGACAGGCCAGTTCACCAGTTTTCTTGTTGAAACTATGGTACTATCATGATTAAGTTATAAGGGTGTTGTGAAGTTTGAGCAACAGTCGAGCAATCGCTGTTGAGACATAGATTAGACTGCAATAATACTATCCATCTAGACTGATTATCATCATCAGTCAAGGTAAAAATTAAGTAGTATTAATTGATATGCCATCATAAATGTAGGGATATGGGTCCTAATCTGATAATCATTATTGAATTACTCATTAGACCGATAGAAGGCTTAAGTGATGAACACAAGCATACCAGACAAATGTTAAATCATATGACCCTCCTTTACACCACGATATCATGAGTTTCACCACTACTCAAGAAATGTCGCAATACTTCAGACTGTATGAACAAACACGCAAGTCCTCAAATAAATTGCTGATGTATAATCAATTAAACAACCGTAGTATAATGAAGAACGGCCGATAAAGTCAAAAAAGCATCGCGGTCATAAAAAGCCAAAACATTCAATTGTCTTCCACCCGAGGAAAAAAAAATAGGGGTAAAGAACTGCAAAAATTGAGCTATTTTCCCGCCATTTTGCAGTAACAAACCAAGGCGACAAACCTTTTTGGTAGAGTATGAACAAGTTCATATACAACAATTTCCTACACTAAGCATTTTAAACAGATACTTTATTTAAGGATATCCAAAACATAACCCAAATGGATGGGGTACCATTTCTATCATATAAAGCAAGAACGCAACATATTCACTTGTGAAAAACCTCTCTCTCTTTGCATAAAAGGAACCCTGCAAAATTAAACCAATGCGTCCTTGCACTTACCAGTCTCAAAAGGTTTAGTAAAACCACAAAAAGAGTTCATTTGTTCATTGGCTAAATTGTTCCTCTATAAGTGAACACACTGCTGCATGCAAAACCTTGTTTCCACAATTTGTCTTCACCCAAGAGTTATGAGGAAAAATGGTTAAAAGAAGAAATTAACAAAAAATAAAACACAGGAAACATAAACATTAAGATTTGAAGCAATAAGTTTCTATCTCAAACGCAAAATGAATTATAGCAGTCAAAAATTTCATCAAATACTCGTATATAACTATCAATTTCAACTTAATCGCCAACTAAACAGTTTTTTTTTCCCTTTTGGACAAAAGGATTTTCAAACTAGGACAACTCCATTTTACAGTATCATGTAGCAACTCAATTTCAGCAAATCTAGCAGTCAAAAAAGAAGCTTAAAATCCTTAAAATATCACCTGATCTTGGGGGAACTCACTGTCCCTGTCCACGATAGCTGAAGCAGCAGAGGCGGCAGACTTCACCGTGGATGCCACGCTTGAGGCTCCTGAGGAAACAATCCTCCAGTAGCTGGAAAGAGACTTAATTGATGTCGGAATGATCCCATTATTGCCCCGACCAGACTGTGGCATCCCTCCAGCACCAGAACCGCCACCACTTTTCTTGCTATCATTCCTCATCCCAAAGCTCAACAAAGCTAAAAACCAACAAGGTAAAGCACACACTCACAGCAGTTCAGCCCTTTCACCTCCTAATCGATAATGATCATAACCTCAGCAAAATCAAGCTTTATGAGAATATAACAGATAACCCTGAAAATGATTAAAGTTTTCAGAGCGTCTCCACTTCAGCTTACAAGTCAGAACTCTATAACCATCCAAAAACCATGCAAATTGCAACAAAAAAAAACGATTCAATTGCACAGCCCCTGTGGTCTTCAGCTCTTATCCCTTTTGCCCCCTCTTACTTTTCCATCAACCGGAACAAAAAACAAAACGAAAAAATATATTTAAAAACCAGCAGTTCTATAGTTTCTGATAGCAATTTTGATTAATACAAAGCAACAAATTCCTCAAAAAAACCTTTTTGTTGTATGTATTTTTTAATTGTAAAAAAAAAAACACAACCCTAACTTGAAACAAAAGTTATAAATATATTGAAAGAATTTATACAAGGATTGAAGAATCATACAAAGATTATATACAAATTGAATCAAGAAATTTAAAAGCTTTTAAAACGAATTAAATTGTTAGGGTTTCGAATATTTCGATGATTTGAGATTGACCGATGGGTGGAGAAAATAAATATACATAAATAAATACTGTATTGTAATGTAGAGAATTTTAGAGAGAGAAAGAAAGAAAGAAAGAAAGGGGGAAGATTGAGCGATCGGATAATGTCATAAATTAATGAAGAAAGGCGAAGACATGATAACTCTGTTTTACGTCTCCCTCTCTCCCTCTCTCTCTCTCTCTATAATTATTAATTTTTTTTAATTTTTTTTTTCTTTTTTCGGGGCCGTTGGAAAAATGGCAACTACTCTCCACGACTTCTCCTCTACCAAATAGTCAAAACAGTATTTACATTTTACCGCGTGGAAAATAGTACAGGAGCATAAAATTTAGGCCTTAGACTCATTATTTTTTCATTAAAATAAAAAATATAATCGTTATTCGTTACATTAAGTCATCATATTTGATTTTTTTATCTCTTATGTGGAGTTCATAAAGACTATATTTCTCATTCTAATTTTTACAATAATATGACTCAAACGAGAGCTTAATATAATAGTTGACATGATAAATATTATATCATGCAATAGTTTATTATTGAACTATTTTGAACACCCATCCAATCAACTCCCGCCACGACATCTTCTATCATTGCATCTGGTCGAATTTTTCTGTCAAAGTAACATTATTCCAAGTAATTCAAATTTCAAGGTTTTACTATTTTTAACTTGTGCGCACAGGTTGATGAACTATACTGGTGCTGATTAAGGGGACATGTGGTGATTCATTGAGTGAGGGATCGGACGGTTGAGAAGTGGGGGAGTAGGGTAACAGAGGTGGGGGTGCGGAGCAGGGAAGTTGAATTTTGTTGCAATGGAATCCGAAGGGATTGTACGAATATTTCTTGCGGAGAAAACTCACGATATGGTTTGTTCATAAATGAGAATATACCACAAGTTATATTTATAAATTTATAATCTAATAGCTTTAATGAAAATAAAAAGAAATAAATAAATAAATAAAATTTTATTACATATTTACCTTCTTTAATTTGTCCAATCAAAACAGATCACTGGGTCGGCTATCCTCGTGATATGGAATGTAGGCCTTGGTGTTAGGATTTTATGCCCTTGTTTGAGTCCTTTTTGAGGAAAAAAATATATTTTAAATAGTAGATTGATGAAAAATGTGTGACTAAAAATTAATAAAAGTTTTGAATTTATGTATAATATTATTTTATTAAAAAATGTGTAGTTAAAAATAAATTTTTAAGAGAATGTGACTCAAACAAGGGCTATGTTTTACTATTGATTATTCTCGATTCAGTTATCGTCCCTGACTCAAATTTTTATTTCATTTTTGGATGTTTCGACTTTCCAAATATAAAGTATTGTTATACTTAGGGGGTGTTTGTGCCCTATTTTTTGTAAATAATATATTATGGAATAGTGATTGATATTGAAATATTTAGTTAAAAAATAAGGAAATTTTTTTGATTTACATGTAATATTATTTTAATAAAAATATGTGGTTGAAAATGAGTATTGTAGAAGAAATAATACGATAGAATGATGTCAAACAAAGTTTTACTTTCTTGCTATAACAAACAAATAATGAGAGCACCAAATATGTAGAAAATATTTTATTCATATTTGGAAGTACACAATCCAAAAAGACAACTAAAAACTTATTTTAGCATGTTGGAAAATGAGAAATCATTTATGGCCATATAAAAATATTGTCAGTATATGTCACAAAGAAATTGAAATTTTGGTAAAACTTCTTCAACAAGCCTTCTAAGACAAGTTACGAATAAGAAATAGAGTCTGTTTGTGAGTGATTTTAAAAATTAATTTTTTTACCGTTAGGAGAAAAGTGGAGTCCACTTGTGAGAGAAGAAGTCAAATATGACGGCTAAAATAGTGAAATAACGATCAAAAAATCAATTTTTTGAGTGAAAAAATCGCTCCCAAACAGGTCCATAGCACGCAAGGGATAATTTATTTTTATTTATGAATTATTCCTTGTACAGGTTAAATCAAGAATTATTTTTCTTGTACAATTGGGGTTGACAATGCACTCATAGAAAAGGGGATTCACGATTTTTTTATTCAACGTGAGCCCCCCTATATGTCTAATTGTCAATTGAGATTGTCATCCCCGATTGTACACATAGCACAACTGTTAAATCAAAATTACAAGTAGAATTATGCCTTTGACTAATATACAAAGAATATTAAACTAATACTCGTGAGAATCACTAGTTATTTTTAATCATTTTAATCAATATATTTATCACTATGATTAGCAAAGTGTGTGTTGTGCTAAAAATTCGTAAGTGAAAGGTTAGAAAATAAGTAGCTCATGTCTGGCTTAGATCAAATTTTTAAATAAATCTTGATAAATGTTAATGAAACTTAGAGTTGAAAAGTTGTAGACCATTTGAAATGTGTAATTAAAATTAATTATTAACTTTTAATTTGATTTTAATCAACTTTTTTAGCCACATCAAACATGAGCTTAGTCTAGTTCCATTTAACACTTAACTTTTAGCAAATTTAATTTGATTTTTTGTAATAGCAAATTAAACATATAACTAATCTAACTAATTAATTGGGTAGTGTATATGAAACTCAATTCATGACAACTCGTGAGAATCACTAGTTATTTTTAATCATTTTAATCAATATATTTATCACTATGATTAGCAAAGTGTGTGTTGTGCTAAAAATTCGTAAGTGAAAGGTTAGAAAATAAGTAGCTCATGTCTGGCTTAGATCAAATTTTAAAATAAATCTTGATAAATGTTAATGAAACTTAGAGTTGAAAAGTTGTAGACCATTTGAAATGTGTAATTAAAATTAATTATTAACTTTTAATTTGATTTTAATCAACTTTTTTAGCCACATCAAACATGAGCTTAGTCTAGTTCCATTTAACACTTAACTTTTAGCAAATTTAATTTGATTTTTTGTAATAGCAAATTAAACATATAACTAATCTAACTAATTAATTGGGTAGTGTATATGAAACTCAATTCATGACAAGAATTAGGGCTTTGAATCCTAGTATATTCTTCCATTTTAATATCAAATTCATTTATTTGACAATACCTATTTGAACTTAAATATTAATGTTCCTAATTTAATTTGTATTTTTTTTCCGAGTAGACTTAAATCTATCATCACACAAACCTAGATCTCTATGAATAATGTGAATATACGAAAAATACATTAAATCACAAGAACATTCATAAGATCATACAAATCATAGCAATATATCTTTATCATAGTCGGACTTTACCTTAGTATTACTACGTACTATATTTCATATTCATTCTCTTGAATGGCAATAGAAATTAAAAAACAATTCAGTTATTGATCAAATAATAATTGAAAGACATTAAACTCCTAACAACCATTTAAAACTAAACAAGATCACAATTAAAAAATTAATATTGAAATTTCATAATATACAATTCCACATTGTCCTAACGTCTATACAATTAATCAAGTATTATATGATTACAAAAACACAAATTGGATTGATTTAACATCACCAAAGTTAAATTTTGAAAAGAAAATGGAAAGAAAAATGGAAAGAAATCTTGAAACTCTTGAATCTCTTCAACGGCTTCAAGCCTTGTAAAGAATGTCCATGTTGTATCCATAGGCTTCCCCTAAATAATGGATATGTATATATAACTCCTTAGGTCTAAATTCGTGTTGTAATTACTTTTCAAGTAGAGATTGAGTTGAACATGAAAACAGATTCTCCTTGTCGAAATGTACAAGCGATCATGGTACAATGCCTTGTGATTGCCTGCGATCATGGTACAATGCCTTGTGATTATCTACATTCTATGTTTACCTGCTATTCATGATTTTCCCTTGCTTGCGACTGCAAGGTATTCTCCTTGCTCTTATAAGGTCGATTTTGGTCTCCGTTCAACTTGTTCCCTGGATTTTTTTATTTTATTTAGCTCAAGTCTATTTGTATTTGTACCATGGGTCCTTCATCTATTAAGCTCCATGATTTGATCTTCGTCAGTCCACAATCATATGCAATTAATCCAGTTCAAGTTTCAAGAATTGGAAGTTAAGTCCCCAAACTTTTCAAATACCAAATTTAACTCCTAAAATTTGAATTTCTTCTAATTACTCTCCTGATACTCCTCCTTGACCACATGCATTCCGATTGATGTTCAATTACTCCTAATCAACTCCGAATATGCTAAAAATCACATTTCTTTATGCCAAATGTTTTCAAGTTGAGATTTTACCTACAATTAATATATTTACACAAGATTAGGTAATATCTACTCGTTTAACTATAATTAATCAAGTTTAATATTTTATTGATGGAAACTGTTAAATAAAATTGAACAATATTAGGGGTATTTCATAGACATTTTTATGTAAAAATGTATTTTAAAATAGTAAATTGATGTGAAATGTGTGGTTGAGAAATAAGGAAAAATTATTGATTTACGTGTAATATTATTTTAATAAAGAATGTGTGGTTGAAAAGAAAAGAAAGAAAAATATATTTTAAAAAAAATAACTACCAAACGAGCTTAAAAAATATTAAAATTTCATTCTTCGTGTTTTCTTATAGCATGTACAGAATATGTACTACTACTCTGTAAATTATTATTATTATTTTTTTCCCCACAAGAGAGTCTCCATGTGAATGGTGAAATTAAAGTGTGGATGACAGGCAGACAGCCCTATTTAAATTTCTGCAAGTCAACTTTTTCCCCCCAATGTATTAGTCCTGAACACACACACACGCACACATTTTAAATTCCTTGGCTCCGCCCCCGTTACTATTTAGACTCTAACAATCAAGTTAATAAGAATGATAAACAATGTGACAAAAAAAAATAATAATAATAAATAAATGAATCTGGAAAAAGATAATGTATAAAAGAATATTGGTAGGTTGAGGCATATCTATCGATGAGCATTTGCTCCAAAGGATGTGTCCCATAATTGGATGTTTATGAATGACAAATTCTATAACATGTTTCCAGATTCCCGAAAAAAAGAAAAAGAAAAAAGTGGATATTTTTTGTCCCATAATTGTAAGGATATTTTGATCAATCTATCAAAATTGGGAATAAAGATAATATATCAATTAGAATTTACTACTCGTTTACTTACCATGAAACCTGATAGCATTTGATCTTAGATGATCGGCATGCAATATTGACGGAACCCTATTCGTGGTGACCAGAGGGCTCGATGGAGTTATTGATGATGGTAGCGAGAAGACATACGAGGTTTATCGTGTGCTTGTTTTTCTTGTTTTATCTAGGGTTCGATAGACTATCGCACACAAGAACAGAAAAGTGTGAAAAGAGTAAAAGAAGAAAGAAATACTGAAAATTGATCGCTTGCAGCTGACATCTAATTGCTCCAAAAACGTCTTCCACTTGTAAACAAAGTTTTCAAAAGCCGTAAACACCATATGCTCAAAGGAATTCTTGAGGAGTCTAGCTTGAACCCGTTAGGCTGGCTGCTAGCCCAAAAACCGCCCTGAACTTAAATACAGCCTAGCCAAGAATGGCTCTCCTCATTGGAGACAGGTTTGGGCTATAACAGTTAACCATAAAGGTTCTTGAGGTAAAAGGTCTATAGCTCATGTTAAGGCAATACAACAAGGCGTCTTAAGTTAGAAATAAGAGTTCATATTACTCGAGAAAAAATTTCTAGTACTCCTAGAGCATGAAGACTCCGTACTCTGGGAATACTAGAATTTTTCCTTTATCCACATCCTATAAACCAACACAACACGGATGCTTAGCTCAGCTCAGTGTATTACATATAGCAATGTGCTTGGGCGCTAAGCTTCGTGGACTCCTACGTCCTACCCAACTTTTAATGGAGATTTGCAGGTTGTGATCAAAATCTATAGTTTGATCACTTGCTAACATTAAGGCCTTTTGGTATGTATTCATCTTATTTTTCTTGAGGTCATCTGCTCTTTCATGTAGGCACAAAGGTTTGAAACCTTAGAACAAAACAAAAAATGACGAATTGAGCCTTATCTTCAATAAATTTGACTCGATTACATTAATTTTATTCATGACATTGTACGTTTTATTACCTAGATCCAATAAAAGATTCAAAACAACCAAACTCTTAAAATGTCCGACAAAATTATCGCAAATGCAGAAAACTATCTACCCATTATTTAACTTTGCAAACTTATAACAACCAACCCAATAGAAAACAACAATATTTCAAGGTGGCACCCACGCTCCGGCGAGCCGGATTTCAGTTTAATGCCTTTCTTGCTAACTTTCTTACCTGAATCGTTCACCTCAATATTGGCCCCAACCACCAAACTATGTCTCTTGGTATGCCAAAAAATGATCCTGAACCTCAACTTGGTGGATAAACCCACTCTGAAAATTGACACGGTTCCATTGGAAACATTTTTAAAAGCCGCCTCCCATGGCGGTCCATGAGCCTCCACCACCGATTTCCGGCGAGCTTGCTTGCCGTGACCTTGGTAAAATCCTGGCACAGTGTAGTTGGCTACAGGAAAGCTAGTATTTGGACCGCAAAAAAAGGTTAAACTTATGTTATCGTAGTACACACCCTTCTCTTTCATTCCATTATCGAGCTTGAGGTCAAAGAATATGCTGTTGTTGCTTCTAGTACCCATCGAATGATCGGATTTATTAAGGATAGGCACGTAAAAATCTTGTATGGAACAAGTGGGTTTGGAGGAACGTAGAGCTAGCCACAAGAACAGAGCAGAAACGCCGGAGGTGATTACGAAGTGGGAGCATCTGCGTCCACAAGAACCACAACCACCGCCCGACATGTCGGAAAAGCTGTTTCCGGAGGTCAACGACGAAGAATCGTTGGTTCTGTTAAACAATTGAAGTGGGAATTTCAGAGTTTGAGGAAATTATTTGGTTAGATAGATCAAAAGAACAATAGTACTATATATTTACAGAGCATTTAGGTTGGTTTCTTGGAAGAGACAGAGAAGATTTTCTGGTTTTTCCTGTACCGCGTAACTCCAATGAATGGGGTCCATGAAAGAGGTTTACATTCTCCATAAACAAAAAAGATGTAATCATGCGAAAGTAGCTTCTAGCTTTTAATTATATTTTTATCTTAAGAAAGTAAAGAGAGGGATTTGACAAAGTAGTCCATATATACAAATCGAACAGACATTTACATGTTGCCTTCATAGCAATGAAATCAGTTCCTCGTGCTGAAGAAGAATAGTATCCATTAAACATTTGGAATACAAATCGTATTTGGAATACAAATCGTAGGGCAGCAGGGCCAAAAAGAATTTCATTTTATAATAGAATCTTATCTGAGATTGATTCCTCCTAAAGAGTCGTGGAGGCATGTGATGTTAGATTGAACAACATTTATTGCATGACACTATCAATTTAACACAAGGTCCAACGCAAATAGAAGTTGCTGACTTTTCTAATATCTAGGAAAGTGACAGTTTTTTGTAAGTTTACCGTCAACAAATAATTCATACCCGAAAGTGCATCTTTGATCATTTTGAGACACAACCCAATTTGAACAGGACAATACTGTACTTCAATTCTTAGATGATTATTAGCCTTGGATTAAAGGTCCTGAGTGACTATTGAAGCTTAGATTACACCAATAGGATTGCCTCTCAGACCGACGTTTCTCTACAAATAGCTTTTATTTTCTCACGGAAATTTCTTTAGTGCGAAGACAACATAATAATTGAATGCTTCGGAACTTTTGTTTTATGACTTCTTCAAAGCTATGAAGAAAGAAATATTATTGGCGTTGAAAAGTAGACATTGCATTATATTCTATTATATTATTAAAGCGAAAATGCACCACTACACGTTTGGGACCTTGACCAAGCAGAGCAAAGCAGCATACTCCAACTACCGTTCATGTAGGATCCTTACTTGATCTTGCATAGTGCAATAGTGGTCAATCAAAATTACTCACTTGCGATCTTCGAGCTCTAGATATTCCATAAGAATAATAGTTACCTAAGTGATGTGGGAGCTAGACATTCAAGTATACACTTTCGCAGGCAAAAGATTCCTCGTATCACCAGAGACACAAATCCGTTTTAACACTCACTTAAAGTACGCAAAACCTGAGCAACCTTGATGAAAGAATGAGGCAGTCGACCCTTCTATAAGAGAAGGAATGAATCTCATGGCACACTATGCAGGTAAAAGGCTTCTCGTATCACCAAATACAAAAATCTATTCTTTCAGTCAATTCTTAAGCAAGCAAAATCTGAGTTACCTTAATGAAAGAAGGCAGTCAACCCTTCTGTTAGAGCAGGAGTTCAAACTTATGGCACAAGAAGCAAGAGCCAAATCGAACAGACAAGAAGTAAGAACAAAAGTACAATCTATAGGTATACTATGCAAGTAATATAGCAGCGAGTTTAGCTCTCAAACCAACAAACAGGTCACAGAATTAGACACAGCCCCAGCCCTTAGGGTCAAAGAAAAAGTAAGAAGAATGCCCTCAGATGTTCTCATTTCCCTTGCTTCAAGTGTCAAATGGGATAGAAACAAATTAACTCTTGTTTGGTAAATCTTTTTTCAGATTTTAAGCACTTCATTCTTAACCTCACTTTTCATTGGACCTACTACTTTTATCCACTTTTTAACCACACATTTCATAAAACACATCTGCTTATAATCTCAAAAAACTTTGTCTAACAAGGGCTTTATCTGTTCTATTGATAATTTCCTGAATGAATCTCAGGAAATCTTGTCAACTAACTATGAAGTCGTGTTTTATGCTCTTCGAATCAGAATGTGAAATGGAAAACAAGAAAGTACTTGATGTAACGCAAGGGATCAAATTATGGATATTTCGAACAACATTATGATCATAAAGAAATTATTTTTACACTACTTCTTACACGTAGATAAGAATTTTTAATAAAACATGATTATCCCACTACTAAAAGAGCATATGAAAAGGTAAATGAATTGAAAAGTAAAATTCCAAGAGCATCATAATTTTGAGAGAAGACTATTCAGAAAAGTGGTATACTTTTAGAAAAGAACACAACCAAGGGCACCATAATATCAAAAGAAAGACAATTCAAGCTAGAGGAATTATCATTAGAAAATCCACAAATCTTTATCGAAATTTTTTGAGTAAAATTTAGTGAAGAGAAAAAGAAATATCTCTCTCTTAAACTTGATGGCTTGTTCCAATCATCATTCTTCCTCTGGAAATTTTTTTTGCATCTCGCAAATAAGACATTTGCCGAGGGAGCAGAAGTCCTTTTGAAAGAAGCTATTTAGAAACAAATATACTGGTTCCTACTTCAGGAACAAGCATAACATAAAAAAATTGCTCACTTTTATCTTAATAAAAAAGTAATCAAGTGTATGTCTCTCTTGAACTTGATGGCTTGTTTCAATCATCATTCTTCCTCTGGAACCTTATGATGGTAATATAGAAGGTAGAAATGAAGATCTATTGAATAGGAAGAGGATTGTTCATCTAACTCGTGTTGAATGAAAGATTGTGTACTATGCTGGTCGGTTAATTGAGTTAGTAAACTTGTACACATCCATTATTTAGAACAATTATTAGTTCGAGGAAATTTCATCCAATATCATTTTTTTCACGTTTGATTTAAAAAAAAAAAAGAAATCACAACTTTTTAAAAAGATTTGCATGAATGACATTTATTAAATTTTTGACCAAAATACTCATACAAACTTTTTAAAGAGTGAATAATTAAAGAGTAATATTATTCATAGTCAATGATTGTAGTATTCAATCTATGTTTATTTAATGCATAAGTTTGTTATTTGAGGCAATAGTTTGTCATTTGTAATGCATTTTTCTTTGCCCACTTCCCACCACCATATCCATCCATCCATCCTCACTGTAGCATCACTCCAACCACCAACCACCTCTACCTATCCCATCTCCATTAGATCCAAACCCCCTGCCACCACCCCTCTACCTGTTTCATAAGGTCACACCGCTACCTCTCCTAAAAAGTCGCTAATAATCCATTCTAATATAAGATTTAATTTAGGAGATGAAAACTATCCCAAGCAGGGGCGGAGCCAGGAAAAGATGTTGTGGTGGGCTAAAATAAAACTAAAAAAAATAAATCAATGAACTCACGCTGTGAGAGATGCTCCATACCACACCAAATATAGTTCAAAAAGCTAAACTTATGACACTGATGACAAAGTGAGTCAGATACTTAAATAAGTATAAACACATAAATCTTTAAAATGTCTTACTAAATCTTTGTAGCTTTTCTTGCCAAATAAAAAATCTTGACACCTTTCTAGAAAATATAAAATGTGCCAAATAAAAAATCTTGAAAACTAACTCAAGCACGGGCGGAGCCACAAAAAGATGTTGTGGTGGGCTAAAATAAAACAAAAAAAAATAATAAATCAACGAACTCACGCTGTGAGAGATGCTCCATACCACACCAAATATAGTTCAAAAAGCTAAACTTATGATACTGATGACAAAGTGAGTTAGGTGCTCAAATAAGTATAAACACATAAATCTTTAAAATGTCTTACTAAATCTTTGTAACTTTTCTTGCCAAATAAAAAATCTTGACACTTTCCTAGAAAATATAAAATGTGCAAAAGCATGATAGACATAAACAAATATTGTATACCCTCTAACAAAAAATTAAGAAAAACCTATTTTCACTATTATGAGACTCAGAGCCAAAAAAAAATCAAGAAGTATTCCTGTTATTAAAGGTTCTTAGTCAATACACATTTTTGAAAAACACTATCTAATATGGGCATTAGCCTTCTATATCTTCACATTTTAGTTCCACCCGAAGGGGGAAAAATTGACCAAGAATATCAAGAGTTCAAAGAAATTGGATTTATTTCACTTTCATGTTTGACTTACTTCAATAGTATAATTTTAATAATTTTAATTTATAAATAAATATTTTTTTAAGAAATATTTTTTCTACGGATAAAATTAGATATAAAGCAAGTTATCTATTTTGATAATAACATCTATTTCATGGTCAACAAGTATTTTTTAACTTATAAGTATAATTAATAAATAAAACATACAAAAAAATAAATTTTAACTACTCTTAAGATTTTCAATATTATTACTATTATTTTCATTAGATAATTTTCTTGCTCATAAGCCTACTAACATGGATATGCTTTCTGATGTGAAGAGGTTATAACATCAATAAATCCAATTCTATCATCTCATTTGGGTTTTATTTCTTTGGACTACTGTAGCAAAAATAAAGTTATTCTTTGCCTTTCACCTACCAAATTAAATTTTGAAAGAAGTTCTACTATTTTGAGTAAGAGATTTGGAAGTGGGCTAATTCTAAAATTTGGTCCATTGAAGAAATTAGGTTGGAAGTTGGCAAATATTAGAGAAAGTGGATGGTAGGCTAATTCTAAATTTGGGCCAAAAAAATAACTTTTTAAGAAAAAGTTACAAAGTAAAATAGGAAATGGGCTAAGGCTGTACTCGGCTGAAGCCCAGTGCAGCCTCCCCCCATATTCGCCACTGTTACGAAATATGCGGAGAATAATGAATATTAACTTTGAATGTGTGATTGATATTAAAGTTTGACTTTGAATGTATAGTACAAGTAACTTTTTAAGTTACTAATATTGCCAAGCACATGCAAAGTCTTTACTCACATTTTCCTTTTTTTAAATATATAAACTATTTTTGAGTTGGGATATTAAGGGAACAATAATGCTAATCAAACAAGGATTGGAAACGGGTGCTTTGAAAGGTCTTGAGTTGTTTTTTTTAATTGTTCAATAACATTGTGCCATGTACCCCTTTGTTTTTAAAATCTGTCGATCATTGAACTTGTCACTGTAGCATAAATCTTAATGGAGTGTGACAGGACAATGCACTGCAGGATGGTGTCGATCAATGTCATTTTCGCTTTGTTAAAGACTTTTGATCAATAGTTTTGAACATTTTAGAGTTCTTTATGTTAATTTCCATTTCATATGATATACTTCCAATCTCGACAGGACCTCGATAATGGGCCCACACATTTTCGATAAAACTGCAATCACAATCTAGCGATGCTATAAATATAATTAGCATTTCTTGTCTATTTCCCATATTATAATATCCCATGTGCACTTTCTCTATATAACCGCCACATAATGTTTTTCAAATTCAGAAAACTTTAACGCTATTCTGCACATAGAGATGTCAACGAGCCAAAGTCCGCGGCTCATGCATGGCCCGTTCATAAAAAAGCTCAAACTTTTTTAGCTAGAGCCGAGCCCTCAGTCGAATTTTGGAGGCTTAACTAAGGCTTAATTGAGTTTGGCCGAGCCCGCTCACGAATTGTTTATTTATTTTTTTGAATTCAAGAAATATTCACGTTAAGAGAAGTTAAACAAGTTCTTTTTCTCGATTAAAATACAATAAAAAAATATATGCATATAGATAAGATAATATATGAATTAGAATACAATTTCAAGTGTATACATATCTTGATATTCACTTGTAGAATTAAAAAATATTGGAATAGAAAATATCTTTTAAATTTCAACACCACAAGATAACAAATAATATTATATTAACGCTAATACTAATGATTATAATAATAATTAATAAATTATAAATATAAATAGTTGTAACATGATTATGAATATTAATTATGTAAGCATATTTATATATAAGTTGTAATTTATTGATTTAAATCTTAAATTAAATATTAATAAAACAAAAAATTGAAAATTGAGAACGAGCTAGGTCGAGCCTATGACACGGATCATTTCACGAACTGACGAGCTGCACTGGCTTGGCCTGAATCTCGAGTTAGCCATGGGCCGCCCCAGTCGACGGGCTCATTTGCCTCCCTATTGCTACGCATACATATCCCTTGTTTGAGTCTCATTCTTTTTATGAGAATGCATTTTGAATAGTGTGTTGAAGGGAAATGTATGGTTAAAAAATAAGGAAAAATTTTGAATTTGTGTGCAATTTTATTTTATTGAAGATTGTGTGGTTGAAATGATTTTTTTTTCCAAAGAATGGGGGTTAAAATCCTGACCCTCAAAACATGTCCCAAACTTCGTCTTTCTCTTGAGTCACTAATCCTAATCTGCTCAGACATAACCGTTAGGTTCTTCAACCGTTGGAATTTTCCAAACCCTAATCTTTTGATCAGGTAATTCTCCTCGAATCACTTTGTTTAGTAGAAGAACCAGTCATGTGTTCGGTTGCTCTAGAATCAATAATCAACGGATTATGAGAGGAGGACAATACATAGTGAGAAGATACATTACCTAATTGAGCGAAAGTGGCCATAGAAGTGGAAATGGCCCGTTTATAAGCTAAGAACTCAGCATACTCATCGCGTGATACACATAAGAAGTCAAACTCTAATGCTAAACTGGAGTAAGTCATTAGTCCAGATACTGGGTGATGATCTATATTAGACGAGACTTGATGGACAAAACTAGATGGTTTTCCATGTAACTCCCAACAATAATCAACGATGTGACCTATACGACCATAGTAAGTACATTTTCAAGGTTCACAATTTATCGAACGAACATTGCCTCTCGTGTCTTATCCACCCTGAGAGCTAAAATCATGTCCACGATTATCGTTACGTTTACCCCTAAACGACATGATATTATCCACACAAACTACTAATAGTAATTAAAGGACCATGAGCCAAGTAGCCCAATAATAAAACCAATAATGGTTAAACCAACATTAATAGGCTTGAAATTAAAGGAGCCTACCCGCAACATAAACAACCCGACAATAAAACTAAATTAAATCTCACCTCTTGAGCTAGTTTTTAGGGTTGAGAAGGCCCAAGTTACAAGTTAGTCCACATACACAGATGTCTTCCATGCACTATATCAAAATTTGAAGCACAATTGATCTCAAAATCACAGACCAGCGGATCTCCACTCCGAATCATGCTACAACTCACAAAAAAGAATCACAAATTAGCTCGACAAATTTCACCTCCAACACCGAAGATGAAGCCGACCAAACCCATACAACAGTGTACCCAAGGGCAGAACTGAAATTGAAGAAATCGGAAAAAATGAAGGTAAATATCAAAGTTTAGAATCAATGCTCTAATACCAGTGTTGGGTGGTCTTAGGCCTTCTCAACCCCAAAAGCTAGCTCAAGAGGTGAGACTTTTCCCTCACACTTAAAAGTTGAATACCAACCTAATTCACAATTGACGTGAGACAACCTCAACAATCTCACCCTCACACATCGGACTTTGTGGGAGACCAAACACGTCTCTCCCCACACATCGAGCACTACGTAAGGCCAAACCCATCTCCCCCTTATGCAACAGGGCTGCGAGAGACCAAACCTGTTTCTTCCTCACACAAATCGGTATCTCCGTGACTGTTGGGCTGGAGACTTGTTGATAAACCGATCTTTGATACCAGTGTTGATGAAAAACTTTGGAGAGAAGAAGATTATTATTGTTCCTCTCGTTTTCTTTTATTATTTAAAGATACTAAAAGTACATACATAGAAAGATACGGTACAAATATGGAAACGAAATAAGCCTAATTGCCTCTTGTCTAATCTACGTTATTCTAAATTATTTATTTTCTTAACAAAGGCAAAGATTTGGAAGATACTACCATGTATCGTCAACTTGTGGGAAGTCTAATTTACTTGATGCTAATGAGACTAGATATTTCGTTCGCTGCTGGAGTGTCAAGTTGATTTTTGTAGAATCCAAGAAGCCTCATCTAGAAGCTGTTAGGTGTATATTGAGGTATGTGAAGAGAACCATTAATTTTGGCCCGTTATACAAGAAAGGAGGAGCAATCAAAATAGTTGGATAGTGTGATGCAGATTATGCTGGAGACCATGATGCAAGACAGTCAACAACGGGCTATGTTTACCATCTTGGTACAGGACCAATTTCTTGGTGTAGTAAAGACAACCAACAGTATTACTCTCAACTACTGAAGCAAAATATAGAGCAACAGCAATAGCAGCTTAAGAAAGTACATGTTTAATGCAGCTAATAAAGGATTTGCACCAAAAAATAGACTACTCAGTGAAACTTTATTGTAATAAACAGTCAGCTATACAACTAGTAGAAAATCCTGTATTTCACGCAAGAACTAAGCATATAGAAGTTCATTATCATTTCCTCGGAAAGAAGGTGCTAAGTGAAGAAATAGAAATGAAACCAATCATGACTGGAGACCAAGTTGCAGACATGTTCACTGAAAGTCTAAATTCTTCTAAGTTCGTAGAATTTTGTGAATGACTTGGTATCACAAAAAAATCAAAGAAGTATGCTCTGAGGGGGAGTGTTAAAAGTCTTTCTCAGAAATTTCCCAAAAGCATTGCAACATATGCTGGCCAATGATAAGCTTTTCATAATTGTGAAGTGTCCCGCCGAAAACTTTGTCTAATTAAGAATTTCAAGCAGCTAGATTTTCTTCTTCTTAAAGAAACCTGCACAAGGATTCTATTGGCTTCCTAGCATCATTAAAACCTGTCCTCCAATTCATATTGGCTAGCCATAAAATTTATTCGTTTGAAGATAAGTTGTTGGTGTGCTCATTTGCTATTGGTCTGATGATGCATCTGCTTGTTTCTTCTCCTGCTGGCTGCCGCCTATAGATTTCTATAAACAGGGGAGCTGCCTCATTTTGCAAGTGTGGTCTGATGATTTTTGAAAGATTGCATTCTGATCAGTTTTGAGAAGTGTGTGTTCTTATCAGTTTTGAATGTACGTGTTCTGATAAGCTTTTAAAGTGTGTGCTTGAGCAGTTTTGAGTACGTGAGAGCTTCGGTTCCTTGTTATGTGAGTGCAGAAAAATAATAGCCGTGTTTTGAGTGATGTTACTAGAGTTTCATGTACTTGTTTTTTATTTAATTTAAGTGTGCCTTAATCCCTTTTAAGTGTTAACAGACTCCAAAACACTGCAAATGGCTGTTCCCAGATTATTCAATGGAGTCGAGAATCATAGTTCCCTTGCATAGGCTTTTCAATTTTGATATATTGAGGAGCGACAAACTCTTTAACCTTTGCAGAGTGACAGCAGCACTACTGTCTGAATCCATGCTGACTCCGTCTTCGTCTCTTATTATCTCCATTTCTGCACATGATGTGACATTTATGTCTTCAAGGTTCAGATTATGTTGCAAACCCCAAGGAGAAGCTTCTTGATTTTCCCCACATTCTTGAAACCATAGCGAGTGATTATTTATTTATGTGATTATATTCCCACAATCTTTAGCACAAGGGTCCACCAAAACACAGTGCAAACAGCAATTTCATGAATATAATTATTTATGTTTACAGATCAAACTATAAATTTCATCAGTTCAATTATGAAGGATCCCCAAGAAATCGAGAAAGTAATATGTGATAAACAGAGATGAGTAGTTGAGGAACAACAAAAGTGACATCATTTTTGCATTAAATAGGTAAAAATTTAAAGAAAGAAACTAAGATGCTTATGCGATTATTACTATCTTTGATCATGAAACTTCACTTGGCATGGGGCAAGCTCTAGATTATAAATATTCTACGAAGGGTTGAAGGAAATTTTGGGGTTGGGATGGACCCACTCCAATGATTCGCACCATTCTTTCTCTTCTTTGAATATATGTATACTTTTGAGAAAGGGAGGATGAGATGGTTGTCCATCGAGAGGTGGCAGAAACAAAGGCATCTTCTTTCAGCTTTTTGACAAAAACAACCCAATTTACTCGATGGAATTACAAATTACGGTTCCCTTGCAGATGCTTTTCAATTTCGTACACTCTGGGGCATCAAACTCTTTAACCTTGGCAGGGTAACATTAGCACTACCGTTCGAACCTAGGCTGCCTTCATCATTGTCTCCTATTACCTCATCCATTTCTACACATGATTTGACTGCCAACTCTCGGCGGTTATGGAGGTTATTTAGCAAACTCCGAGGAAAATTTTCTTCATTTTCCCACAATCCAGAATCTCCAACTTTTGAAGCTGGGTAAATTCATCACATGGAAGATGTGCCGCTGTTACTCCTCCGCTGCTCTATAGGAGACGAAGGAGGAAGATGATTTGAAGTAAGCATGTTTTAGTTTTTCATTTAGTGCTTATTCGGATAAAATTATAAGTTATTAAAATTATAATGCTATAGAAATTTTTTGTGGATAAGTGAGTAGTTGTTGTACGTCTTATGAAATGTTTGGTTAAAAATTAAAATTACAAACGCACTGCTTGTGATTGTAGAGAGAGGATATTTAGTTCAGGACTTTGGAGTTTTACTGACTAATATTTATTGTTATAGTTTGGTTTCTTATCAGGCTGGAATTATGATGAAGGGGCAGATCAAGATTCATTCATGGTTTCAGAGCAGCAGCATCAGTTACTGCAAGGTTCTTGTTCATTCTCATGCCAGTCCAGACATATGTTAACTTGCACTTAAATCTAGAACTAATTCAAACATGATATTTGAACTTATTCTTTGTCTTGCCTAGTACTACTATGTTTGATAATGTAAACTTTATGTTACTGTTTGTTCCATAAATCTCCTGCAAGCATCGAATGTTGGTAATGTCATGATTATTAGTGTTAACAGATGTGCTTAATAATGGATATTATTCTGGGAATTGACGTTCGAAGTTTGCTGCTGCTTTATTTTTTCTGCATGGCTTCTCTCGTCCATGTCCTAATAGTACCCAACGCATCTTTCTATCACACTTACAACCTCTGTCATCTTTACCATACTAATACAAAAACCATTGGTTACTAATGTCACTGAAGAGACAAGTGAAGAAACCATATTTATTTTTGTAAAGGAAAAAGGTAATATGAGCAAAGGAGAATGGAATTTCCCCTTGTGATTATGTGTATTTGTCTCTAAGAATAAAAAAAGATAAATTCAAATTTGAATACATGAATCGTTTTTTATCACTGCATCGTGTTCATTTTAAGATACCAAATAAATCTTCCGTAGCTGCATAATGGCCCTGTCTATTTGCTAAAGAAAATTCAAAGATTCAAAAGGGAATAACTATACAAGCATGAATAGAACACATTCTGAGGGAAGCAGAGCGAGACTATCTTCATCTCAAGACTCAAATCAACTTATTCACCAAGAAGCAGTTGCAGGATTAATGATGTCTACAAATCCGAATGTAAATTTGATCAGTCTTCGTTTATGTTAACAGAGGACTTCCTGGCTTTGGCATCCCCTCCTTGGCAGTTAAGGTAGGTACCATTAGCTCACCCTTGCAGGATCACGATCTTTTGTCCCGGCCATTGTAGCACGTGCGTCGCGCAAGGCATAAGGGGCATGATGACTTGACATCATCCTCACCTTCCTCCCATCATGACGTCTGAGTCAAATATAATTAACGAAGGGTTGAAGGACACTTTTGGCATTGGGCTGGTCCCACTCCAGTGATTCCCACCATCCTTTCTCTTCTTTCCACAGTACTATCTTTTTGAAAGATGGAGGCGGAGATGGTTGTCCATTGAGAGGAGGCAGAAACAAAGGCAACTTTCTTACTTTTGTAATGTACTCCATATCAATTTCCTCAATGGAATCACAAATTATTGACCCCTTGCAGATGCTTTCCAATTTTGGCAGATCGATGAGGTACAAATTCTTTAACCTTGGCAGCGTGATGATACTTTCTGCACCCAAGTCTCTAATTTCATCATCTCCTATTATCTCCTCCAATTCTGCACATGAATCAACTTTCAATATGTTGAGGTTTTGAAGGTTCTGTACCAAACTTAGAGGGAGAAGCTTCTTGATTTTCGCGCACTTCACAACCTCCAACCTTTGAAGGTGAGAAAAAGGACCATGTGGAAATGGTGCAACTGCTGGTACTACTTCCCACTTGATGAGACCAAAAAAATTCTGCAAGTCCTGAAGATGCAGACTTTCAAGGTAATGGAGTGGTATCAAGTAAGACTGCTGTTCAACTTCTGCCATTGTTTCTTTCTCAAGCGACAATCTCAAAATGCACTCGATTCCATCCTCTTTTTCAATATAGCAGTGCTTCAATTCTGTAGGATTATTTAATTGTTGGAAATCATCAAATAAGCAGCTACTCAGACCACATTGATCAAACCGTAAGTACTCAATATCTCGTGGCAGCATAATCTCATCTTTTCCTGTTTCGCCTTTCTTAAGACTGTCTTTTCCAAAAGTTACCAATTTAAATGCTAATCGTTCAGGGTTGTGATAACTATAAGAACATCTGTCACCTATTTGAATATCATAGAAACTGAGCTGCCTATCACTTGGTCGAGACTTCATAAATATGTTGAAATCATGCATGCAGCGAAATTTGCCTTGAAATTCTTCTAGTTGTTTCAATCCTGCAACTTGTTCTACTGGTATTGTCATCCATGTAGGGAGTGTGAGACGCTGAAGAAGTGACATTCCTTGTGAAAACCCAGTTGGAATTGTTTCTATACGTGAGCCAACTGTGTCCAAGCATTTGAGAATGGTTAAACTTTCCAAGCCTTGGGGTATTTCCTTAATGCCAGTATAACTGAGGTCCAGCTCTTTCAGTGCCTTGAGGTTTTCCAATGGTGGCACAAACACGAGTTTCCAACAACATCCGAGCAATAATGCATTAAGTTCCTCCAAGTTCGATATGGAACTAGGCAAGTACTCAATCAGAGTGTAACTCAAATCGAGAACATGCAGGCCACGCATCTGCAAAAAGATTGAATCTGGAATTGATTTCAAAGGATTGGAGCTTAAAAGCAAGGTTGAAAGTTTAGGACACTTGGGTGATGTGAAGCTCGAAATTTCTTCTATATTGTTCCTGTTGGATAATTTAATTCTTTAAATTACTAGATCTTTCATGTTAAATCATCAAGAAATATAATAATTAAAGCGGAAGCATACCTGAATCTGACATGGTTAATGCAATATGGATTTCGCGGTATGATCTTCCAAATCTACACGCAGTCTCCTTTTCCTCTCTGTGATGGGATGCAGTAGAGAATGAACAATAATCTGTTGCGTGTGATCTGGGGACCATAACCTATTTATATGAGGATGCCCTTTGACCTAATTCGGCCCATCATAGAATTAGGACTTGGACCCGGTCTCTACACATATGTAAACCCATACTTTAATTGGATACATTAAAGCCCAAAACCAAAAAATCATATTAGATCACTTTAATTGGGCTCAACCGAATTCGATAGCCTATAATTTAATACACAATTATTCACACATACAAGCCCATCTTTAATTAAAAATTCTTACAATCTCCCACTTGGGCTATATGTGTCACCTTATAATTGTGCATTAAACATAACCTTATGAGTACTCAGAATTTTGCTATCATTACCGAATGTATCCCCAAACAATCCCGTCCATCAATCATATCAACATAGGATCAAAGCGGCTTTCGCTACTTTCATGTAGCTAAACCCATCAATGGTCACGTACATCAATATAACCGAATGACATGGATCAAGTATGGATGTGTAGCATGGAAATTACATGTAATGTGATCTGTAACATGCCTATTTCCAACTGGTCCACCTTAATACCTTAGTGAGATCATTTTAAACAAGTTCAGAGATAATTAACCAAATAACTTTATAACTGAAAATAACTTTAACTTTAAACCGTATCAAAATGTGCCGTGATCAAGAAGTTCTGTCACTTCTTCAATCATTTTATCAGCACATTTTGCCAAGGTCACACGCGAAATACCACTATTTTGGTTCACTTCTGTTTCCAAGCTTTCGAATTCTTTTTGCTTTGATACTACATTGCTCAACCAATATTTTACCACACTTTTTCGCATTTTTCCTGGATGACGTTCTTCCTCTCTTAGCCTTGCAACCATATCAGCTTCTTGAGAGTTGAGGAGTTCAAGCTTCCTCTTAAGATTTTGCATTTTTTTCTCAAGGTTGTAATAATCGCTCGCCACATTCACCGCGAAGTTAGCTAACATGTCACTCATGGTCTTGTCTACAGATAAGACGCCCAAAGTAAATCACACAAACCCCACCTAAGTAAAAGAACAAAAAAGAAGAAGATAAAATAATAGCATTTAGATCTTGACTCTACACTGCAGATATAAAAATACTTGCAAAGAAATAGACGGACAGTAAGCACATCAAAGTCTCTGCATAATAACATTTGGAAAGAATGATTCAAAAAATATAATTTGTATGAAAAATTCCAAAATAATAATTAATTATGCTAAAAGACATGGTGTTTGTTACCTCTAAGACAAAACTAACACTGGAGTTTTTACTGCAAGAAGCTGATGAGCCAAAAGACGAGATACCAATCTGCCTGGTGTTGTTGTAATTGTTTCCTAGCTGATGAACGGATATGTGAAGCTGGTTCAATGGCAGATTTAGGAAGAGACCGGCCAGGTTCCTGGATGGACACGAGTTGACTTCAAGCCTAAGTCTTCATTTAATTCTGATATAGGTATTCTTACCATGAATTGGCTTATGTTATTAGCCCATGTTTCAGCCCTTTTATTTTTTATTTATTGTTTTTAATTTTTTTTTTTGGAGATATTGTGTTTTTGAATATTGATTTTTTGAAGAATGTGTAGTTAAACCATTCTAAAAATGAAAAGTTCGACACAATTGGAATTTTTTTTTGAAAATTGGATGTGTCATCTATTTCGAGAGTCAGGTCAATGCCACATCTTTTTCTCAAGCATCAATATCAAAAGTTTTGAATTTACATAGAAGTAAATTGATGTTTAAGTAAACTTATAGTTACAACGAATAGAATTTACCTTGTTTCAAACATTTCGTCGAATATTTATATCTTTCCATGATATTTTCTTCCATATACTTACCTTAATTTCCTCATCTTTATTCAGCCTTTTCATTTTTCTTCAAATCATTGCATGTGGGTCCCACACCACAATAACTTGCTACTTGATCGAAAGTTGTTTTTAATATCTGACCGTATAACATAAGGGCGATTTTGCAAAATAAAAAAAATGGGAATATGAAACGTTTGATATATAAAAGAGTAATTATATTCACGCCACGATTTTTTATTTCTTACACAATATTTTAATTGTACTTAAGATTCTTAATATTTGTTCATTGTAACATTTATATTTCTAACGATTTTTTTATATTATTCTTATCCTCGAACTTTTCATTAGTTAACATGTTTTCTATTTAATAACATTTTTATGTTCAAAAGTCTGTTAAAATGACGTAAAATAATTTATTTTCCCATCACATTTTTAAAAATAAATAAATAAAAGTGCAAAAAAATATTTTTTTTCTACATTTCAAAACATAAGAGTACAATATTTGGATATAAGTCATCGCAAAAAACGAGACGTACTAATTATGGAAGGTTGAAGATAAGAATTCGACGGAAGAAATTTAAGGAAATAATTGCTACAATGAGCAAAAATTGAGGAATGTAACTACAATTAAAATATAGTGTATCAAATAAAAATTGTTGTGGCAATATATGAATGGAGGAGGGCTATTTTCATGAATAATTTATTCAAGATTTGAATTTTTAAAATATCAAATTTTGCTGGAAAAAAAGCTCATTTTAAGTTTATCATACAAGGACTAAGTCAACTTTAAACATGATAATTAAGTAGCAATTTTCTTTTTGACTGGTCCACGGATTCTAGAAAGATTGGTGTGACAAAGATTATTAATAAGCGGCTTGACTTATTAACATTGTTGCATCAACAATGCTTGGTGTACACTCTTATTTATACCAAGTTACACAACCCCCTCACAAGTAAGAAAGCCCATGTTAAATATTTTATTCATAGGGTCCCTCACGTGAGGGCTGGAATAACTCTTTTTGCATTAAAATATTTTACCAACCCCTAAATTTATTATGTAATAATATTGTAGATCAAGATTGATGAATGTTAAAATTGTCGAAAGAATGGTTTCAAATGATCGATATGATTTTTAATAATGTTTTTACTATTATATTGTTGTAAAAAATAATATTGTAAAATATCAATGTTTAAGTGAACAAGAAGAATGGCATTTACCACAATTAGGCCTAAAACATATATAATATGGGTATTCTTTTTTTCGCTTTGATAACATTGAATATTATAGAAAGACCGTAATAAAACCAATTAGATGAAATACGATCAATATTGATGTCCAAACAAACAAGTGAAGAAAATAAGAAAGGGAAGAAGAAATTAATTAAAGATGAACAATTACAAATGAAGTTTGATTGCTTAGATGACTACATTAATTTCCATTTAGTATTTTGTCATGTTCGTGCCAAAAATACAAATAAATTTTCTAAGACTGCATCTTTCTGCCAAAAGAAGTTTTAAGAGCAAAGGTGTGCAACCCTTGCAGAAGCTTTTCATTTTCAAAAGTGCTAGGTGCACGGCATTTTGTACAGCAAGTTTGACAGTCCTCTCACATAGAGGGGGTAGGGCCCTGATTAAAATAATCACAGTCTTATAAGAGGGCTGTCAAATTATAAGTGTACAGCAGATAGCATTTTTCTTTCGATTTTGATAGATTGAGGAATGACAAACTCTTTAACCTTGGTAAGATGACAGCAGCACTACCGTCTAAATCCATGCTGGCTCCTCCTCCGTCTCTTAATCTCTTATCATCTCCTTCATTTATGCAATGATGTGACATTTAAGTCTCCCAGGTTCAGATTATGTTGCAAACTCCGAGGGAGAAGCTTCTTGATTTTCCCACAATCTTCAAACCTTAACGTGTGATTATTTATTTATGTGTATATATTCCTACAATCTTCAACACAAGGGGCCGCCAAAACCCAGTGCAAACAGCAATTGCATGATTATTTATGTTTACAGATCAAACTATAAATTTCATCAGTTCAACTATGAAGGATCTCCAAGAAATCGAGATAGTAATAAGTGGTAAACGGAGATGAGTAGTTTAGGAACAACAAAAGTCGCATTACTTTTGCATTAAATAGGAAAAAAGTTAAAGAAAGAAATTAAGATGCATATGCAATTATTACAATCTTTGATCATGAACGTTCACTTGGCAGGGGGCAAACTCTAGATTACAAATATTCAACGAAGGGTTGAAGGACATCTTTGGCGTTGGAATGGTTCCACTCCAATGATTCCCACCATTCTTTCTCTTCTTTGAATATATGTATGCTTTTGAGAAAGGGGGGATGAGATGGTTGTCCATCGAGATTTGGCAGAAACAAAGGCATCTTCTTTAAGCTTTTTGACAAAAACAACCCAATGTACTCAATAGAATCACAAATTACGGTTCCCCTGCATATGCTTTTCAATTTTGGCATACTCTGGAGCATCAAACTCTTTAACCTTGGCAGGGTAACATCAGCACTCCTGTTCGAAACTAGGCCGCCTTCATCATTATCTCCTATTATCTCCTCCATTTCTACACATGATTCAACTTTCAACACACGGAGGTTATGGAGGTTATTTACATAACTCTGATGAAGAAGTTTCTTCATTTTCCCACAATGCAGAATCTCCAACTTTTGAAGCTGGGAAAATGCACCATGTGGAAGAGGTGCTGCTGCTACTCCTTCTTCGCTCTTTACAAGACCAATAAAATTTGGCAGGTTCAGAAGATGCAAAATTTGAAGGCTTTGGAGTGGGATCGAAAGAGAATGTTCTTCTACTTCTTCCATCAGCTCCTTCAGAGATGATAATCTCACAATGCACTCTGTTCCATCCTCTTTTTCAACATGGCACTGCTTCAATTCTAGAGAATTATTCAATTTTTGGAAATCATCCAATAAACATCTACTCAGGCCACATTGTCGAAAGAATAGTTCCTCAATATCTTGTGGAACCATAATTTCATCTTGGCATAATCCTTGCCCTTTCTTCAGACTGTCTTTTCCAAAAGCTACCAATTTACAAGCTAATCTTTCAGGGTAGTAACATCTATTACCTCTTCCATCACCTATCTGAATATCATAGAAACTGAGCCGCCCAGCATTTAGTTGAGACTTGATAAATCTGTTGAAATCACACATGCTGCTCAATTTGCCTTGAAACTCTTCCAGTTGTTTTAATCCCTCGACTTCTTCAATTGGTACTATTATACATTTAGGCAGTGTGAGGCGTTGAAGAAGTGGGAGTCCCTGTAGAATCCCTGTTGGAATATTTTCTATACATGAGTCGAATGTGTCTAAGCGTTTGAGATTGGTCAAGCTTTCCATGCCTTGAGGTATTTCCTTAACACCAGTCTTACTGATGTCCAGCTCTCTTAGTGCCTTGAGGTTTCCCAGTGGTGGTACCAACATGAGTTTAAAACAATACCTGAGCAATAATGCATTAAGTTCCTTCAAGTCTGATATGGAACTTGGCAAATACTCAATATTTGTGTAACACAAATCGAGAACATGTAGGCTATGCATTTGCTCAAAGAACAAATCTGGAACTGACTTCAAAGGATTGAAGCACAAAAGCAACGTTGAAAGTCTAGGACACTTGGGTGATGTGCCACTTGAAATTTCAGCTATATTATTATGCATCAAGGAAATCTTATCCAAATCTTCCCTCCATTCTTGTGCCTCTGGTATTTTCTTCAACTGAAGTCCAGCTTTTACCATATACCTAGGCTTGTCTTTAGTGATACTTAAAGCCATGTCTCTAATGAGATCATGCATCTTCACTTGTTCATTTCCATGATAACTTGTACTTCTTTCAAGCAAGCAAACATTCTCCAATTTATTCAGTATTGTGTGACCTTGGTCAAAGTCTGCTTGCCTGCTTCTTCTTCTTTCCATCAAATCCTCTGAAATAAATCTTGTTATCAATTCGTCTCTTTGAATGCAGTAGTCTTCGGGATACAAGGAGGTATACAAAAAACAACGTTGTAATTTTGGATCCCTCAACCGATTAAAACTACACAAGAGTATTGGTAACACCTCATTTTCCATGTCCGTTTGTCCAACAGAAGATTCTTTTAGTTCCTCCAAGGTATCCCTCCACTCATGAATGTCAATCACCCCCCTCAAGCTTCCAGCCATGGTGATAATTGCAAGAGGCAAACCAGCACACTTCTTTACCACTTCTCTTGCTATCTCTTCCACTTTGGGTGGAAGTCGTATGCCATAACTAAGTTTGTTCATAAAGAGATTCCAAGCTTCTTCCTCCGAAAGAACTTCCACTTTTAGATACTTATGGCATTCCATTTTGCGACACACCTCTAGTGATCGACTAATTACTATCATCTTAAATCCATATATAGCAAGAGAGGGAGAAATTCCAATCCTTTGTGAAGAAAATGAAGTCCACACATCATCGAAAATGAATACAGATCTCTCTATTCTTTTGAATGCCTTACCCAATTTGGCTGCTCTCTTGTGCTCATCACCTTTAGCCGAAAGATCTAGATTCAATGCTTTAGCGATGTCATTTTGCAACTTGCGAATGTTCAAATCTTGTGAGACAGTAAACCAAAAGACATTAGCATGGAACACAGTTTCATTCTTTAGCTTATTATAGATACATTGTGCGAGGGTTGTTTTTCCAACTCCTCCCATACCATAAATGCCAATAGTTGAAACCTCATCACTCATCAACCATGACCAAACTGTCCCAATATTTTTTTCAAATGCTTGATGCTTCCATTCTACCGTTACAAATTGCTCATCTATTGTCTCATTAACCTCAAATACGATTCCCTCTGGAAATGTACCTCGATCAACAAGTTCTACCACTTCCTCAATCATTTTATCAACACGTTTTGCCAACTGTATGCGTGAATAAAATTTGCTTTCATTCACTTTTTGTTCCAAGCTTTCAAATTCCTCTTGCTTTTTTTCTACATTGTTCAACCAATACTGGACTTCTCCTTTTCGCTTTTTATTTGGATGGACTTCAGCTTCTCTTAACATAGCAACCACATCAGCTTGTTGAGTATTGAGCAACTCAGTTTTTCTTTTAAGATTTTGCATATTTTCCTCTAGAGTATAATAATTGCTAGCTGCCTTCACAACTATATTGGTCAACATGTCGCTCATGGTATTGCCTGAAGATAATAACTGTCAAAGCAAACAGAACTTTAAACGGAAGAAGTTAGCAGTTGTTGAAATATGGAGCACAAATAATGTACAGTCAGCAGCAACATATTGATAATCAACGAGAAGATAGTCATCAGGAGAAGCATGATGGTGCAGGGTAGAAATGTCATTGAAGGCCATTCTGTTAAATTTTGTTACGTAGCATTCTTTTCTTTTCCCTTTTCTGTTAGATTCTGTTGTATAGCATTTTCTTTGTGAAAGTATTCTAGATCCTTCCCATTCACTGTATATATACGTGTGGAGCTAATCTATTGTAATCACTTGAAGACATTTTCAATAAAATCATTCTTCAAGCTTACATCTGGTTCATTCTGCCTTTTTGCAAAGGGAGCAATTTATTCCCTATTTTCTTATAGCAGTGAACTTCAAAGTGAAGCGAGAAGAACAAATGCAACATCAAGCATTTACAAGGAAAGTTTAACAAAAAGCAAAGTAATTTGGTTTTCTAATGTATAATCAAAGAAAAAGCAGATGGTGCTTATTGTCCAGCATACCCTCGTAGTATCGTGTTAAGGCCACTCTATTAGGATGAAGTTTGATGTACAGCACCGTTTTTAACATTATACATAAGCCATAAAGGTACTCACTTTTCAAAATCCAGAAAACGACGGGATTCTAGGATTCGATCCCCCCCATGATCACAAAAAAACACCAGTTAATATTTCAATTCATAAGCTGATATAACTTCGATCTTCTCTTCTGTATGGTCTTTTATTTACAGGTCTCCATAAGACCTTTGCTTTAAAAAGAAACAGTAAAACCTAGATCATATAAAAGTGTTAACGGCTAATAAACAATTTTATCTTTGCTTAAATCAACACATATTTTTATCAGATAGATATCAAGATTGAGATAGTACCCCAATCAAGAACTCAACAACTAAATTTGAAAGCAAGCAACAATTGGCCACAAACTTCACAATTCCTCTATCAGATCAAAATCTTATTTGTGTTCCCATAAAACAAACGAGAGAATAATAATTTAGAAACTTCAAATCATAAGCTAAAAGACATGGCACTACCTTCAAGTACTGAAACCCCAGAACTTAGCAGAAGATTACAGCTCGATTGTGAGATGCGGATAGAAAAGTGAAGAAACGGGATTACGGGAGTTTCCCGGGGGAGTGAGTTGTTTAACATTAATGATTGGTTGGATTATTTTCTGAATGAATAATGCTAGGTGTACAAGCTACATAGATTATACGTCAAAATGAGATGGAAGAATTTTTTTTATTTGATTGATGAAATTTTGTCACAATAATATCTCATTAAATGCTGTGTATATACATTATTATGTATATGTACCACAATTATTATTTTTTTCCATTGTACTACATGTTAATAATAGTTTACATAATGATTTAGATACACGTGATGTGTTGAAATATGATTATGTCAGAATTTCTTCAGTTAAATTAAGAAAACCTCCCCACTCTCTTTATGATCCCTCTTTTGTATGTAAATCACTATGGGTTAATTTCTCAAACGATTACTAAACTTACTTGAAAAATATAAAACGATTACTGAAGTTTAAAACTTGCAAAAATGATCACTAAAGTTTATAACGCTTTCAGAAACGATCATTGAAGTTTACAAACTTTCAGAAACGGTCACCCAAATTTTTGGGCGAGGTTTGAGGCAAATTTTCGGCAACTTCCGACTATCAAGACCACCGAATTTGGATAATTTTGGAAAGCTTACAATGTCATCTTCAGTTACCACCCAAAATCTCCCCATAACTCCAAATAATTTGACCGGAATAAGCCCACAAAGTTAGCTCCCCGAAATTTGAAAATCTGCCAAGATTTTTCAGATTTTTGGGTAAGTTTTGAGACAATTTTTTGACAACTTCCGACGACCAAGACCCCCGAATTTGGATACTGTTGAAAAGCCTACAATGTCTTCTTCAATTACCTCCCAAAATCTCTCTATAATCCCCAAATGATTCGATCGAAATAAGCCCACAAAGTCAACTCCTCGAAATCTGAAAAATCTGGGAGAGCTGACTTTGTGAGTTTATTCCGACTAAATCGTTTGAAGTTATGGAGAGATTTAGGATAGTAATTGAAGAGGACATTGTGAACTTTTCAACGATATCCAAATCCGACAATTTTGGAGGTCGGAAGTTGCCGAAAAATTGCCGCAAATCTCCCCCAAAAATCTGGGTAGATTTTTCAAATTTCAGGGAGCTGATTTTGTGGGCTTACTCCGGTCGAATCCTTTGGAGTTATGGGGAAATTTTAGGTGGTAATTAAAGAGAACATTGTGGGCTTTCCAACGGTATCCAAATCCGACAGTCTTGGTGGTCAGAAGTTGCTGAAAAATTTCCACAAATCTAGATTTTTCAGATTTCGGGGAGCTAACTTTGTAGACTTATTCTGGCAGAATCTTTTGGAGTTTTGGGGAAATTTTGGGTGGTAATTGAAAAAAACATTGTGAGCTTTCCAACGGTATCCAAATTCAGGGGTCTTGGTGGTCGAAAGTTGCTAGAAAATTGTTGCAAATCTCGCCCAAAAATCTAAAAAAAAATCTGGGCAGATTTTGAGATTTCGGGGAGCTGACTTCGGGGGCTTATTTTGGCCGAATCCTTTGAAGTTATAGGGAGATTTTGGGTGATAATTAAAGAGAACATTGTGAGCTTTCCAACAGTATCCAAATCCGATGGTTTTGGTGGTTGTAAGTTGCCGAAAAATTGCCGCAAGCCTTGCTCAAAAATCTAAAAAATATGGATGACGGATTCTACAAGTTTGTAAACTTCAATAACCATTTCTGAAAGCGCTCTAAACTTTAATGATCGTTTCTGCAAGTTTTAAACTTCAGTGACTGTTTTGTAATTTTCAAGTAAGTTCAGTGATCGCTTGTGAAATTAACCCAAATCACTATATAACTTGAGCATTATTTTTTTCCCCTGGTTATAGCCATTTTATAAAGGGAAATTTCAATTTCCATCCACAACGTTTACTTTCTTTTATATTTATCTCCACTCTTTATTTTCTAACATTTTATTTCCAATTCTTCATTATTTTGGCATCCATAGTCTCGCTTAACGAACAGTCCGGAAAATGATGCCACGTAATGAAATTAAAGAAGATAAAATTCTAATAGTCGTCATTCTTAGTACTCCCGCATCAACACCACTCTCCACCCACACGTGCAGTACTGTTAGGGATGGCAATGGGCCAAGCCAAGTCGCCTCGGCCCTTTAACCCGCTAACTCGGCTCGGATTCGTGGCGAGCTAAGCTCATGGCTTGCGAAGCCGTTGCTCAGGGACGAACTTGGCTTGGTCCACGAGCTTGTGATTTTTTTAATTTTATTTTTATTTTTTGGGTAAATTTGCATATTTTTTGACCTTTTTTTTTGTAAATTTACATATTTTTTGACTAGCCCACAACTCGTCAAAAGTGGCTGGTGGGCACACGGCCCACAAGCCGCTCGTGGGCTCGACTCGTGTGATTGAGCCTCCTACTCAGCTCGGGGTCGGGCTCGTCTTTTGACGAGCCTAAGCCGCCCACGAACCAAGCGATCGAGCCGACGAGCCGCTCGAACCGTTTGAAATCGCTAAGTACTGCAGTAGGATGCTATCTAACATGAATATGAAGCATCTCTTTGAATTATTTGAACTTGAAAAACATGTAGACATCTTTGATTCTTTTTATTCGGAACCTTCTTTTGCTTTCTCCACCAAAACTGGCGGCTAATCTGCGCTAAATTTAAGACTGAAACGAACGAATTCTCAACACGAATTATGCTGTTCCAAAATGCCCTTATTATATTGGGTGCGATCAATTTTTAAAAAATGAAATTTTAAGGTTTTTTATGAAACAATCCGTCAAATTTTGGGGCAGTTTGTCATAAGACTTTTGAAAGGTCAAAAGCGAAATTGCTTTGGAATATATTTGGATAATCTAACTGAATCTATGTGTTTTCCGCAACAATAGGTAAAACTAGAGGAAGAGAACGTGGCTGAACAAGTCTTACAAATTTCTGCGACTCTTATAACCCCATTTTAACTGTCTCAAACAAAGTTTTCTTTTCGAGTCTGTCACCTCCTGCACCGTGTGATCTCACGGGGCGTTGGCTGGTGAAACCTTGAAGTTTCTGAAATAATCTCTTCTTCTTCCTCTTTTTCCCTTTGTTCTTCACATTTATTTAGTTTTAATTCTAAAATGTTGATAAGAAGCACATGTATAGGAGTACCCTGGAGAGTGCTTTCTTGCATTGCTCTTGTTGTGTTTTTTTGTAGCACTGAGATAACTAAGGCTCAAGATTATGACTCCCCCGATACACCGGCGGCACCACCGCCTGAGCAAGGAAAATGTGATGGCATTTTTGTCACATATAATTTTATGGGGCGAGAGAAAATTTATCCATTGGTGAAGAACACATCCGCACAGGCGTGGTCGTTTAAAGCAATGGCGACGGTGTTGAATGCAGGGGCTTATGAGCTGAAATCATGGAAGATTTTCATTGGCTTTCAACATGAAGAGCTGCTGGTTTCGGTTGATGGGGCGGTGGTTGTGAACGGAGATGGAGATGGATTTCCAATTAAGGTTGGAAAGAATGGGACCCTCTTCGCCGGATTTCCACAGTCGGATCTGGAAACTGCCATTGACACTGCTGGGGATTATACTCAAATGATGGTGCAAGTCAATATTAAAGGAACACTTTTTGGGGTGAAGCCTTCCGCCACGCCGATGCCTAAGACAATAAAGCTTGTCAATGATGGATATAAATGTCCTGGAGCTATGCGTCGAGGTACTTTCTATTATCTATGTTTCATATTTCATGCGATGCATTCATAGTATTTCTTCAAGACAATTTTGTATTAGAGGTATATCTAGTTCCACTTGAAAGTATGAGTTGGTTATTGAACAACCATTGATCTAAGAGTCTAAGATGTTACAACACAATTGAAGAAAAATTAGTGTTATTTTCCACTATTCTGCAGGAAGCTACATGCATGTCTGCTGTAAAAGGGATCCAAAATTCAAGGCTAAGAAGATCAAAACCAAGTTCATGCCTCGCCAATACGGTGATCTCTCCTTCACATACGACATTCTTCAGGCAAACGAAAACAAATACATGGCACAGGTCACCATTGACAACAATCATCCACTTGGTCGTCTTGATCAATGGAACTTAACTTGGGAGTGGATGAGAAATGAATTCATTAACAGCATGAAGGGAGCCTACACTCACAGAAAAGATCCTTCAGATTGCATTTATGGTGCACAGGGACAATACTACCAGGATTTCGATTTCTCGACTGTAATGAATTGCCAGAAAAAGCCGATTATCTCCGACCTACCTCCTGAGAGAGAAAACGATGACAAGGTTGGGAAATTGCCCTATTGCTGTAAGAATGGCACCCTTTTGCCAAATACTATGAATGAAACCAAGGCAAGAGCTATTTTTCAGTTAGAAGTTTTCAAGCTTCCGCCTGATATGAACAGGACTGCACTTTATCCACCCCAGAATTGGAAAATTGAAGGTGTACTGAATCCAACTTACAAATGTGGCCCTCCTTTCAGGGTAGATCCAACCGGGTTTCCAGATCCCAGTGGACTTGATGCAACGACTTCTGCAGTTGCAAGTTGGCAAGTTTCTTGCAATATAACACATCCCAAGCCGAAGCAGGCAAAATGCTGCGTATCTTTCTCGGCTTATTATGCTGATTCTGTTGTACCCTGCAACACCTGCGCGTGTGGCTGTGATGATGACACTTGGTGCAACCAAAATGCCGCACCATTGCCTTTGCCTCCAGATGCTCTTCTTGTGCCTTTTGCTAATAGGACGAAGAAAGCAGTAGCTTGGGCTCATCTGAAACACCACAAACTGCCAGTAAAACTGCCGTGCCCTGACAATTGTGGGGTGAGCATCAACTGGCATCTTGACACTGATTACAAAACTGGATGGACAGCAAGAATCACACTCTTTAACTGGGATAAAATTCCGTTTGTTGATTGGTTCACAGCATTCCAGTTTAAGAAGGCATTTCCGGGATACGAGAAAGTTTACTCTTTCAATGGAACCAAATTGACTCGGCCTAATAACACCATCTTCGTGGAAGGCTTACCGGGTTTGAATTACCTGGTAGGAGAGGTAAATGGGACACACCCGGAGAGAGATCCCAGAGTTCCCGGAAAACAGCAATCTGTTATTTCATTCTTGAAAAAAAACACACCCCATATAAAAGTGGCACAAGGTGATGGATTCCCTTCAAAAGTGTTCTTCAATGGTGAAGAGTGTGCTCTTCCAAATAAACTTCCCGTAAGAAGTGGTGCCACCCGATCCCCCAATGGTGTGCTCCCAGCGATTTTTCTTTCTGCTGCTACTTTTCTGCTGTTATCGGGTCGCTTAAACTGAGAACACAATTTCAGAATTTTCTTAAATCTTCCTGGATACAAGATTTGAGAAATGAAAATTAATCCTTTTAAGGTTGATAAAGAACAAAGATATTTTGTTATCAGAATTCCTTTCTCAGTCCTGGAAAATAGATCGGAATTGATGTGCTTCATATGATAACAAAAAAGAGGGAATGCAACAAAGATTATTGAAGACTGGTTCTTATCCGACAAGCAGATGAAGGGATTGTAACAAGTTTGAGAAGTACAGGAATTTGTTTTTTTTCTATAAATAATTATATTAATTTAGCTATTATTACAAATTAACTTTGGATGTTTTAGCATGTTAGTAATGAGAGTTTATTGTTTAGGATCTTTTATCACACAATGCTGTTGTTAATTTTCTGCATAATTCTATCTGGATTCGAGAACTTTAGTTGGACTTGAACATTCTTCATTATTAGAACTTAGAAAGTAGGTGCTTATTTGGAATCAAATCAGGCATTTGACTTTGGAGTAAATCAAGATTTTCGTTGAATGTATAGATATATATGATATTTAGGGGTTTTGCATTAAACCATTCATCAAACTCCACTTGTTGCTCCGAAACGCTCTTTTGCTTTTATCAACGTTAGAGCGTTTTCTTGGTGAGCACAGATTCAACAACGAAAGGTCTTCCTCTACACCATTCCCCAGCACTGAGTCTTCTGCATTCAACGAAGAGCAAAAATTTATGTTACTCAAATCTTACTATCCATCTCTAAAGAGTTCTTCGTTTATTTCTACACTTCTAAAGTTCTCTACTATGATTTATCCCGATTTGTACATTTTCAGAAGTCTTAACGCTGTAAAATTTCTATACATACGTAGGAACAAGATATACATTTCAAACTTTATTCTACTTCAGTATAGCTAAACAATTCACCTAAAAATTTAAGGAAGTGGATTATTCTCAAATGGCAGTATTTACACTTTAATATTTTTGTTAATGTGTGGCTTAATACTCACTCTATCTCTACCATTTGTGCATGTCAAGAGAAGATTTCAAATCGGATGGGCAAGAGATCAAAGTAAGATCCAAGAATTAATACCAGTGTTGAATAACACTTCCAATCTTCTCCTGATATTCTAAGATGCCATTGCCCAAAGTAAAGGAAATGAAAATTCTTGATAATGATGAAGCAAAGCATAAACTCCCAGAATAAGATACTAAAAAGGCCTTGAAAGAGTTCAAAAACAGCACAGGTCCTGTTGAAAAAGTGGCCATATGCTTTGCACTGGAGGACAAGGAATCCAAGAAGAGAATAACAACAAAAGGAGGCAAAAGCTTAACTGACACAATCTGTAAAGAAGGATGCAACTTCATCTACAAATACCCTGATCTTGAACCATTCTGTAACTTGTGTTCACCCATTCAAATCTGACATTTATATTTTTGGCAGAAGGCTCATTTTCGAGCCCTGGTGTTCATATCTTTTTCGATGGCTGAAACCCTTCTAAAATTAAGTAGAAAAGTCTTTTATGTGTTGGGGCTATTTGGTGTTCTGTTACTGATTCAGAAAGGTAATGCTTATGAATTCAAGGTAGGAGGTCCAAAAGGCAGTTGGGCAGTTCCTAGTGATCCTAATGCAGCCAGCCTCAATAAGTGGGCAGAGACGAACAGGTTTCAGATTGGAGACACCCTATGTAAGAAGCACTCTTCATTTATTTTCTTGAATTATTTTACTGAACCAGGTGCGTGTTACTTGTAGACGACACTAACAAATATAGAGTGACTTCATCAAGTTTTTGCCATTTTGCAGTGTTTGTTTATCTGGCTGACAAGGACTCTGTCCTACACGTAACAAAGGATGATTACACTAATTGCAACACGGCTGCACCCCTCGAAAAATTCTCTGATGGTCACACTGTTTTCAAGTTTAATCAGTCAGGGCCCTATTACTTCATAAGTGGAGTAGCAGATAACTGCCAGAAAAATGAAAAACTGTTAGTGGTTGTGATGGCAGATAGAAGCAACCATTATTCAAATTCGCACCAAACAACGGCCCCTCCTCCTCCCTCAACAGAGGTGCCCCCTTCTCCAGCACCTACTGGTGAAGGGTTCCCTTCTCCACCACCCTTGGAGGAGGAAAACCCTGCTTTGGCTCCTTCAGAGGAACCTCCACCTCCTCCTCCAAATGGTGCTTCTGCAATTTGCTCAACTGTTATTGGCGTCATTGGAGCTTTTGTCAGTTCATCCCTTCTATATTTTTGAACTGAAAATATACATCCCAATTGATGTTGATTTCCTTTTCTTACCCGTTTTAAGTTCTTTGGTTTGTTTGTCAAAAGTTTTTCCTTCCTTTCCTTCGTAAATTCAACCCCTACAGATTGTTGATACTGGTTTGATACAGTTCAGAAATAAGCCAATGTGCAATATTTGCATTTATGTATTGGTAATTTGATCTACAGTGTAAAAATTAATAAACAAACTATAATATATTTTGGGTGAATACTAAGTTTGATGTTTTCTGTTCATTTTTCATTCTATCCACATTACATGAAAGAAAGAAAAAAGGTATAGAATGATGTATAGCATCACCTCCAAGTTCAGTGGTGAAGATACACATTTTCAATGATCGTGTAGCTTATTAATTAGTTGCAAGCCAAACTTGCCGTATATAACACTCGCTTCAGTGCACAAACTTCGGCCTCTAGTATCCCTACCATTCCTCTTCGAACAAATATTACTAGTTACCATAGGAAAAAGAAAGAACTTGCAAACAGAGGGAAGCATTTCACTATCAGCTATCTCCCTGACAGCACTTTTTTGAAAATTTTCAGTAGCGAAATATACTATGTTAAATTACATTATTAGAGATGTCAAGTGTACAAGATTTTTTTCGTTTATACACTGACTATTGCTGTTCAAAAAAATCTCTGTTAGATGGAGTGATTGTGTAAAATTAATATTTTCTTTTCATATATATTTCCTATCCAAATTAGACATGATTTTGTTTTCATTTTAAGACTATAAAAAACATTTAGATAATAATCCATGGAATGCATTAGAGACTAATTTTGGACTTGACATTCTATTTAATAGACATTAATGACAACTTGATCGGAAGTCTCTACTTTTGTGCAACTTAGGTAGAAATCCACATAATGCATTCGAGGCTCTTTTAGTTATATAAACTATAGGAGTGCATCTTCTTACCAAAATAAAATGCTGAGATAAGTCAAATCTTGCTGAGATAAGTCAAATCTCGAAGGATCAAAATATAAAAAATTCTTTTATGATTGACCTTATTCTCATCAAACAATTCTAAAATTCGTCATAGAGTCGCGTCAAGAAAACCATATTTATTATAAAAATTTAAATCTTCCTCAAAAATCTAAACTAATGTTCGAATGAAGTGTATAACTAAAAATTAAAAAAAAATGTATTTCTTTTAAAGGAAACAGTTGACTTTTATTTGATCATATCAGCGTGCTAAACTTTTAAAAGAATATCAGATTTTTGCTCAAATCAGAACATTGTGATCAGAATTATTGAGTGTCATAGTAATTCTCAGGGGCGGATCCAGGATTTTCAATAAGGGGGGCTGAAATCTAAGAAAGTTAATGCAATAAATTTTTTGGTAAATGACACACTAAAACTAGGCGCAACCATTTCGAATGAAAATTGAAGAAAAATATATATATGTTCCCTAATAGATAGAATCATTGAATTTTCATTTTGACGTCGGACCATATAAACAGAAAAACACTAAACACCAATAAATCAACACATCACCACTTAACAAGTAATGCACATTCATCTAAAAATTTGCACATTCCAATATTTTTCTGTACTTCTTCTCTTTCAAATGAACTTCACATTTTACATTTCTCTGCATCTCACCATATTAATTCCTTAAAAACTATATGAATTACCATAATATGTTCTACTCACAAAATTCAAGTGATTAGTGGGATATGATGTCTAGAAGAATACAAAAGTCCAGATTTTTACATTTTAGAATTCAAAACCAGCAAAATACAAAATCCAACCAAAAAAAATTCATAGCAGGACTAGATTAATAGTGGACTTTCATGTAAAACGCATAATCATCAAAGCCCATATTGTACTAAACAAATCGAGCAGTTGAGATGAAACTCTATCAACAAATGTGGAAGATTGAGAGCAAATTTACCATTTTGTAATATTTTTTTGCACTCAAACTGGGACGAAATGTCATTTTCCCTGTAATTTGGTTTCAATTCAGCAACATCCATATTTTTCAATAAAACCCCAAAATTTCAGGCTGTGAAAATTTTCAAATTCCCAAGGAATTGCTCCACCCCTGGGTAATTTGTTGACATGTGGTCGACTTAATCCTCAATGTTTTGATCATAACAAACAATATTATTTTTATTTCTAACAAATTCATTTTAGTAATGATAGTTCAATATTCAAATTAATCATGTATTATCGGACTTCAAATGAAGATCAAAATAAAAGCCATGTATTCAAGTCAAATCATTCGAGACAAAAAATTTAAGAGATAAATGTTAAAAAAGATCAAGATCAATAGTATGACAGACGATATCAATAAAAGATCAAGACGAGGCATACTTCGGAGCAAAGACTTGATTTCTTAGGTAAAATGTAAAGGTACTAATGCTTTGATATTTGGCAAAGAGTAGTTAAGCTCAAAGTCTTGCTATGCATTAAAAATAATTTTTGTGCGCTAAGATAATTCGAATGCAATCTTTTTGATTAAACATGAAAATGACTTTTAAAAATGATATATGGATTTTAAAGACATTTTTATTATGAGAATTTAGTTAAAAATATTCTTAAAAAGTCCATACACTTCAAAACTTTCAAATCGGAATAAACGAGGCGAAAACGTGAAAAGACCGCACTGTCGGGGCGGTCAATCGCCCAGAGTGAAGGTCGACCGACCATGAGAGGTAGTCGACCGGACTCCTCCAACTGTCCGGATTTGACCGTTCTAACTTTTGATTTTTACTGTACAAACGGCTATATTGGTTTTCCAGACAAGAGGCGGTCGACTGGAAGAGTCATCCGCAAATTCAAATTTTTTTAACATTTTGGACTATATAAATACCCTAACCTCTTGTATTAATAATTATCACTTCCAAGAGCATTAAATTGAGATACTTCAAGCTTTAACTCTCTACTCCTTATTTATCTTTATCAATTCATTCACTTTTGGAAAACTTTTGATTGAGTTTACTTTTGAAAGTTATTGATCAAAGATTTTTCAAATCTAACACTTGAGCTTTACTTATTGCCATTCATTAAAGTGTTAGCCTACTTTTCTCTATTGTACTCAATTTTGAATATATCTTTATTGTGGGAGAAGATTCCTTTTTGTAAAGCTTACTTTTGATTGAATTGTGGGTCATGTTGAAGTCCCGAAAAGTTCAACGATTATAAAAGGATCGGTGCTCCTTGCTTGTAAGTCACCGGAAGCGTTGTAAGGGTTGGATTGCACCATAAGTCAATCAATATAGTGAAAAAGGTCTTGCTCGTGAAGGAGAGCTTGGTAACGGGAGCGTAGATTGTGATAGCATCGAACTTCCTTATTACATCGTTTGCATTCTCTTTTCCCTTCCTCCTATTACTCGTGTTATCTTGTTTATTGATAGTTATTTGCTTTAATTTGTGTTTATTTTCGAAATAGTTTCAAATAACCAATTCACCCCCTTTTGGTTAGTTGTTCTTGGGTTTTCAAATTGTGGGAGAGGATAAGAACGTAAGAGAGACATCTAAGTTTTGGGGTTTGAGCTGGGTTTCTTATTTTGGGCTTGGGCTACTTTTAATTTGAATACGGGCTGATGTGATATGCTAATGGGCTAACCAAATCTAACTAATGGACCTGGACTGAGGCTGGCACGGGCTGTAGCATGGTCCAGCTCGTGCCTAGATTTGCCAGTGGTAATGCTAGTATCATTCTGCCAAGATTAAAATATTTAACAATTAGATACTGCCAGAACTAAAGAGCATCTGCAAGGTGACGATGATTTGAGATTCCATCGAGAAAGTTTCTGGTAAAGGAAAACTAAAGAAGGGGCCCTTGTATCCATCTCCTCAATCTCTTAAAGAGAATGAGTTACGTGAAAAAGAGAAGGAACGGTGGGAATAGTTGGAGTGGGACCATCCCAACGCCAACACTTGAACATGTTGCTCAGTATCGGAGCTGGTTGAAGCTGTTTGATATTCACTAGTGAATGTGATCGTTGATGATTTTCTTTGCCACCCTGTTTTGTGATAATGTTAGGAATTTGATTATTTCTTAAGTTATTCTTAAAGAGGATACTGAAACAAGTACAACAAGAAGGTGGTAATGACGATAGAAAAAAATAGTAGAAAGAAATTTTAGAAAAAATTGCTGTAATGAACAGAGAATGAAGTTTACTATGTTGCAAGTCTGAGATGCAGATCGTAGATATCCTTACAAAGTCACAATCCAAGAGTAGGTTCGAGGAATTAAGATGTAAGTTGGTAGTTTTAAAGAAAAGTATCAAGTATGAGTGTTGAATTCTGAGATTTCAGGTAGCTGATTTTATGAAATAGCTGATTAAGTTTATCTTTTCTTTAATTTATTTTTAAATTATTTTGATTACTGAGTCAATAGTAGTTGGTTCCTTAAATCCAGGGATATCAGTGACAAACAAAATTGTTATTTGTTAAGATTTTTATGCAAAAATATCTGCAAACATGATATTTTTTCTGGTATTTAATTAGCTCATATCAATGAATTAAATGATCTTCCACAACAAACTTCATTCTGCATTCATTACAACAATATTTTCTAGAATTTCTTTCTACTAATTTTTCCTACAATTGGTACTAGAGCGTTCTTCTTAAGGGACTGTAAGTTTCATTTTCTATTAAATGTGTGAGCTAAACACAATAGAGTTAAAATACTTGTGAGATTTGAGAGCCTCCAAATTTTTCATAATGGCTTCAAGTAATTTTTTTGTTCCTGCTCCTTCTCTCTTTACAAGAGAGAATTATTAGTTATGGGCTATTAAGATGAAGACCTACTTAAAGGCCATGAATTTGTTAGAGGTCATTGAGAATGACGTTGATCCTGCTCTTCTTCTGCAAAATCCAAACATTGGCACAGATCAGGAAGTATGAAGAAGATCCGTCAAGGAAACCTAGACCACTTACGTGCATCCACTCAGCAATGTTAGATGTAATTTTCACAAGAATAATGACTTGTTATTTACCAAAACAAGCATAGGATAAATTGAAGGAAGAATTTGAAGGTAAAATCTATCAAGATGTTAACTCTCAAAAGAGAGTTTGAAATGCTAAGAATGAAGGACAGAGAGACAGTAGAGGAATATTCTTCAAAATTCATGCAACTTGTGAATCAAATTCAGCTTTATGGAGAAAACATTTGAAGACACAAAAGTGGTGGAAAAAAATGTTGATAAGCTTGCCGAACAAATTTGAATCCAAGATTTCAAAAATTGAAGAGTCTTGTGATCTGAAAAAATTGTCAATTGCT